TAGATGTGTGTTTCTGAGTCATGTGACCATGAATGTATGCAGTAACTTCATCAATGTTTGATTGAAATGCCTAAAAATTAGTACAAAAAATTAGCAGTTAATAGATAGTTTTGATAGTCAGCAAGTGATAAAGTTATTATCTTGGAGGAAGCAGAAACCAAAGCTTACAAATACAGTATTATAATTAGAAAGTTGCCAGTTTGAATCCTGGAGAAAAAATAAATTAATAGATTGGAGTGAGTTAGTAACATTTTCCCCTCTGACAGCTGTCTAGATACCCCATGCAAAGCATTTGATCCCTGAATGCTCCAATGGAGCTGCTCAGTGTCAGCAGTGGAAGACTGTGGTTGTGGTGGGCAGCTCCAAGGTATGGATCCGTCCAACTGAATGTGAAGTTAAGTGATGCTGAAGGAAAAGCATACTGTATGTGCTCAGCTAACATAAAGGTTAGAAAGCATTACGTCATGAGATGTCACAGAGGAAACAGCAGGCAGGTCTGCTGTAATGAGAAAGGCTAACTCTTCCTTAGGGCAATGAACTATTACCTCTACTCTTCAAATTCTCCCCCCGACATGCTCCATTCCTTTTCTCTAACCACTTACACCGCTTCGTATCCGTTCGGTTTATGAAGCCTCTTTTCCTACCTCTCGCTTTCATCTGGCATTTACACATGGTCAGCTGATCCTTCACTGACCATCCATTTCTGTGAGTGTTACAGCTACTCCCACTCCAAACTAATTCAATTGCAGCACACTGTCTGATGCTTCATGAACGCTGAGTGCTGGAGGCCACTAAAGAGGAGAATGTTCCACATTTATTCAAATAGAAAGAGGCAGAGTCGTCTTATTTGATGCAACAAGGAAAGAAGAGTTCAATTACAGGCTCGGCTGTTAAACTGATACCAAAGTGCAGAGCTGTCTCATAAAACACATTGTTACATTACATGCAGATTGTTTACTTGTTTACCTCACATTCACAACAGATCAGTAACAGATCAGATTGGACGTACTGAAATTGATTCATACAGCAGCACTGCGATTACAAACGAGTTTTAATGTCCCAAATGCCATTTTAGCCGTAGGACTTTCCATCCTGCCATAAAGTCTGAGGATGAAATGCTGAATAATGTCCATTCTGGGGGATAAAAAATGGACATGCAGAAATGTCAGCCTCTCCATCAACCTTCAGAAATCCATGTTTAATGTGATGCAGTGTTCATCAAAGTGATGCACAAATCAGCAATTTGAGTGCAGCTCACTTTTCCTCTGATCTCAAGAGTCAAACTAATTACACCTTTCGCTATAATCCACAGTTTGAGTTCTTCAACACCATGATACTTCTGTGAGGCTGTGCCAAGAGACAGCAAAATCGATGTTCGATTATCGAAATTGACAATTTTGAATGACAAAATGTGTTCCAATCAGTCAGTTGATAACCAAGTGTTTGACATGATAAAGAATTCTAGCAATACTTTATACTTGCGGAGTTTGCAGAAAGGGAATGAAACTGATGGTCTCAAACTTCAAGTATTGTGTAAAAAATGTTTATACAATTTATCCAAACTACCGCTGATTGTTGACATCTCTGACTTTAAGTGCTAGAAGAAGCCACATTGCAAAGTTTTCACAATCCCACTGTCAAAAAACTGTCATATCCTGGAATGACCATGTGGTCCTACACTAGCCTCTTCCTCCCACACAACAGCTTGGATTCATTCAGTATGATTAGATACTGCAGGCCTGTGGTCTAGTAAACAAGATTAGTTCACCTTGTTGTCATTTTATCTCATCAGACCACAGCAGATCCAAGTCAATATCCTGAAATTGCTCAGCAGAGGGGAGGATGCAGGAGGGGAAAGAGGCCTTTGAGGATTTGCGCTGGTCCCTTGGCCTTTTTAAAATTGTTCTTGCCTGGAGTTGATAATGTTGTGGGAATACCAGGCAGATTTGTAGCTGTGCATTAGTCAGTTAGTTTGTCTCTGAGATTATGTCTTACAATGTTTGGACAGGCTAAATGAAGGCCAATAGGAAACATCTTGGCAGTGTATTATTAGATGGGAGGGGTTTGTTGCTGGGTTGCCAGATCAGAGACAGTGGAAATTAAGCACTAAGCTAATTCTGTATCACACAGCAAATTCATTTCAAAGCTAAAAATGCACTTACAGTCACTAAGTTGACAACCAATCTCACCACATATTACTATATTATGCTACGTGTTGCATCAGTGTTTGTCCTGTGTTTTTTCTAGCCGTCATCACACAAAGCTCACAATCACAACCTGTCAGCTGTTGTAAAGCTACTATATTACTAACCAATTATACACATGAGTGCACATCTTTTGAAGTTGAGAAGTTCAACAGAGAATCAAACACACTTTACCAGCTACTCCGCTTTATTATTAGTGTAAAATGACACATTGTTTATCTGTGACAGAGCAAGTGAACAACGTAGCTCTTCAACATGACTGAATGACATGGAAAAAAAAACTACTACTTTTTATTACCTTATACCTTTTATTCAGCTATAGTGCACTGAATCATTGTGGATCTTCAAAGCCACTTTAACTTTATGGCTGATTAATTGGATTAGCTCATGGAAAAGCTGCGGCCCAAGTATAAATATTTGGCAGAGTGATTCCTGGGTGGTGTGCGCTGGATACACAAGACAGTATAGACTAAAAGGAACTCAATGTAAGAGCTAAGAACTAAAATACACAGATGACAGGCTATACCCATATCACCATGGTGCAGTAAAGACAATGTTATATTTTACTTTAAGTTTCCACAGCTATTAGCTTTTATTACTACCCACATTGCAAACTAAAATGATTGGTTACATGTCAGTGCACTGTCTTGCTTGAATATATGTAATATGTAAACATACATGAGGACAGTATAAGAGGTGATAGAACTGTTTCCTGACTGTGGTGATTTGAGAGACTCTGATTGTGTCTCTGTATTTGGCTGGTTTGAACTGATGGAATAATGTTTTTTATGCAAATCATATATTTGTTGCTGCTTTGAACATGCCTCTCATAACATAGCACCATATTCATGATGTTACATAGCTAGTTAGCATGACTAATGAGGTAGCGGCATACAAAAATAAAGGGGAAATCTAGACTTGAAAAATATATCTGTATGTCAGGAGCGACACTGAAATGTAATACAGTATTTCTCAACAGGGAGCAAAGCCAAAGTGCAGGCGTAGTCATATAACATGCATCAGATATAATACACTGGAGTCTGATGTTTATCTTTGATTAAATGAAATACAATTTCAAAATGACTAATAACAGAGAACTTAACCAACCACAGTCTTACATAATGAAAAGACGGACAAGTTGGTCAAAACTATTCATCACAGTACGATGAATGCCATGCTATCCCTTCCAAAAATGGATCTATATATGTAGTATTTTCAGTGATAATGATGAGAATATATGGGTTGCCAATTCTAATGATTGGCCTCTGATGTCAGGAAGATGTCTTATTCGGGCTTCTCAAAGACCAGCAGTCGCTGTGAGCAAAGTGGGTCGTGTAACCAGTAATGGATGCACTTGTTTCCAGGGCAACAACCACAAGGGAATATTCGAATGAAGGCAGACTTACAGATATACAGTACGTTGGAGGATTTGGAGTCCTGGTCACACGCTATAAATCACTGTCCTTTCAATGCTATTCTCCCCACACAACTTAAGCCCAGTTTACGCTGTGCGATTTTGAGCTGTCCCAGATGAAAGATAGTAATTGTGACAGAAACGTGGCGATATCTTTGGTCAAGGCTCCAAAACGGTGGTCCTACGTTGCACTGTGTGAGAGGTTCAAAGATGACAACCAAGGACAGCCTGGGAAAAAAATCTGACAGTCAGGAATTTAGGGTTACAATCTCACAGTGTGAATGCTGTTACAACCTACATCAGGAATGAAACATGAAATGATGCACTGTGTAAACAAACAGCAGATGTTTAGCATATTAACACAAGCCCCGAGACATTGCTCATCTTAAAACATTGCAATGGTCATCACAAGTGTTCATTTTACATGTAGTGTGTCTGTGGAAAAAGATCACATCAGTAGTCACCACAGCTAAACACTACTTACCTGAAGCTCTCTTTGCTAAATTGGCATCCGAAGTTGGCCTCTTTTTCCTATCCTGGTCCATATTCTCCTCCTCCTCCTTCTCCTCCTCCTCCTCTTCCTCCTCCTCCCCTGCCTCTTTTGATTTTTTTCCCAAAGGGCGCGATTCTTATTGGGTTTCGTTGTTTATGATTGTTTATCCCTGTAATGTCAAATGCTGGTGATGTTATTGACTTGCATTGTATAGCCTACGATTCAGTAGATCTTACCAACTGTGATGTTAATGCAGTGATTCTCCCTTTACTTCAAAATGCAACTTTCATTTACATTTTCATTACAATTGATATGAATGGCTGTTTTTTTTTACTTTTACCAGTAAAAACAGAAATATGAGACTCATTACAGGACTAAAAAGAATATTTTTTGCACTACACTTTCCCTGTTGCAGACTGGATGTGCCTTTCTCAAACTTAATGACCTGTTTTAAGATTAAGTAGCCAGTTTTGCCTACTTGGATTCATGTCTGTGGACCGGACTTGTCTTTGCTTTTGTTTGCAATCAATATGATGAAGGACACAGTATTCTTTAAGCGTTTGTGTTATCTTGATCTCATCAAAGTGGTCAGACCTGTTTCTTTGGATTAAATGTCAAGGAAATAAACTGAGCCCATTTCTTCATCTATCATTTTTCTTATCACACACCATTTCACACTTGGCTAAGGCTTTTGACAATTGCTGTTGCGTTTGACTCATAAAACAGATGATACAGGAATTACATTCTTATAGTATTGCATTTGCTATGAAGTGGCAGTGAATGAGAGCAAATATTCGGTACAATCTGCAGGAAGTTGAGCATCTCCTGGTGTTTCCAGCTACCATCATTTTTTTCTCTAAATCTTTCTCTGTGTTGTTTTCTCTTCCAGAGCGCCCATCTGGCAATGATAGACACTTTGATGATGGCGTACACAGTGGAGACTGTGAGTGTGGAGAAGGTGATGGCCTGCATTTGTCAGTATTCATCCTCCAACCCTGATGTGGAAACACCGTATGACACAGAAGATGCAGTGACGACCTGGATCAACAAGGTGGGTAATGGTGAAAGACAAAGATGATGTAGATTTTTACAAGAAGGACGGCTGTAGTCCTGTCTCAACTTCCACCAGCCTGCGAACCTGTTATGAACCTTTGTTTCCTGAAGCTAATACATGTGTTATATCAGGTGTTGTGTCCATACTCTAAGGTAAATGGAAATCTGTTACAGGATGTAAAATTTGATCACCTTAGACAATGACTCAACAAAGTTATCTAGTTATCTTCTGATTATATGCATATGAGAGTAGTGATAAAAGCTATTGTTGGGTCTTGCATCCTAAACCTGCATGTGTGCATTTCTATACATATACTTTACAAGAATCAGTATTACAACAGAAGTGTGTGAGAATGTGAGTTACAGTACTTGCCATTTGGGTTGTGACATATGATAAATTTGAACTAAACCAACTTGTTTCAGTGTCTGTCAAAGAAGAACGCTGGTGCACATTCTGTGCACAAGACAATTTGAGTTCTGAACTCAAGTTCACAAAATATTTCAGTGAAAAACACTGACCTAAATACCATCAAATATGCTACACACACACACACACACCACGTCTCCATGCCCTGAGGTTATACCATATCACGTGCACAGGTGAACTGAGTAAACGTCCTCCTGGGTGTAGTGACGGTGGAATACCTTGTTGTTGTTACTAGGATTGACACGTGTTTTCTACACATGTATAGCATGTGCATAACTCACTGCATGTGTACGAGAATCGAAACATGACGATATGACAATGTCACATGAAATCTGTCTACTTTTCCTTTTGAAGATGATGTACTTAAACATTGTCCACACCCTGCAACCAGTAGAGTATCAAATGTAAGAGCTGGTTGGTCTCTTTAGCTGTATATAATGACACAAAGCTCTTTGTGGTACTTGGCCCTCCCCTCTGACACTCTGCATGATTCAGCTTACAAGGGCTTTTAAAGGCTCGTACTGATAATATTATTTAGCTTTTACATAGTGATAGTTCAGTCAGCAATATATGACTCCAACGGCATAGCGGGAAACAAGTGTCTATGGACCAATTAAATTAAAAGTATCTATAGAAACTTGATTGTCATCAGAACACCACTATGCAACACAGAAGCAGTTAAGCAGTGAATTTAGCCATATTTTGACAAAATGGAAAAACTTTGTTACCTTTCAAGTCTACAGGAGGAAAGTTGTGTTTGGGTGGAGTATCACTTTAATGTTCAGTACACATTCTTATATTTGCAAATTTTCATATTCTATGTTTAATCTTTTTAGCAGCTACAATGAATCAAATGCACACTTCTTTAAAGCATTTTATTAAATGTATTACTACAGTACATATAATATGTAGCACTTTTTGCACTTACATGCACTTCGTAAATCAGCTCTTTTGAATTATAAGGTATAAGTGGCTGTCTACATGGCCTGCATGTGCAGATGGGTCTGACTCCTCCATACAGTGCTACAGGGCCCAGTCTGTTTACATTCTTCTGGTAGGAACGCTGGGCTACTGCCAACTCTGGGCTTCACACACACACACTTGTGCACACACACACACACACACACACACACACACACACACACACACACACACACACAAAGTAGCTAACAGGGGGTGTGGTCATGGAGTCCTACTGGTCTGACATATGGCTCTCTGTTGGAGTCCCTATCCGTTCCAGAGGACCAAAAATCACCAGCTTAACAACTGATTCCTGCTTTAACTTGTTCCATATGAAGTTTAAGAGATATACTGTAAGTTGTCCAGAGTTCAGGATTGAGTGAGATTAAATTTGATTCTGTTCAATTGAACTCCACTCAACTTCATTCTGATTAAATTTAAATGTCTGTTGATTCAGAAAATCCAAAAAGTCTTACAATGTACGCTTTTAAACACAGACTTCTGTTATGGTCTTTTATGGAACCGACACAAAACCACAATAAAATAGTTTTATTCTTTGAATAATAATGGTAAAGTAATGAAAAATGAAAAAAAAAAAAAAATGAAAAAATGAAAAATAAAGGCCAGTTGTGGTCATAATAGTGCAGTTATAAATGTGTATTTTACAACCAAATTAAATCAAATGAATTGCTTCAATATTATGTGCTTGCTACTGTTCCATCGTTATTATTGTAGGAACTAAAATTTCAATATTTAACACAATTAACTATGGAGCCTCACTTTAAGTATCAAAACAAATTTAGTTTTTAATTTGAGCAATATGAGTGGAAGTATTAGTCATAGTCTGCTCGTTATATTGAATTTTATTCAATGATGCTGCTGCTGCTGGCTTGGTGATGATTAATCTTGTTTGCCCTCCCTCTCCCAGGTAAATGAATATCTGAAGGACATTGTGGCTCAGGAGCAGAGGAAGAAGGAGACGCAGAGTGCTGAGCCTGCTGGGAGTCCTCGGGTGAGTGTGTTTCTTTTCCTTTCCTCTCCCAGCTTTGATACTCCACTTACTACACATTAACATGTAGACATCAATAGGTTGATGGACACTTTCAAACAAGCTAAGTGAAATCCTTGGCTACACTTATTGGATTTACAACAGCATTCTCCTTTTGACTGACAGCTATTTGTCCCAGACCTCTGTGTCACTTTGATATCTGGGACCAGTGGCCTTGACAGAACTTAAGCTGTTAAACCCCAGCTAGCATCGAAGAAAATCTCACTTACATAAAGAATGTCTGAGCTTTAGCTGAAGCTCAGTCTGTAGCCAGGCTACATCTTTAACATCAAAATGAGCTTCACTTTATTTGTACTTTAACCAGCAGATCAGTGCTCTCCAGGATAATTGGGCCAGTAGTCATTTCGTGCAGGATCACACATGTTCAGGGTCCCGCCTGCAGTCCATATCTGTTATATAACTGACTCAGCAGTAACTTCTAATGCCATGGGACAGGCTATTGTGGCCTGTTTATTTGTGTGTGTGTTTATACATGTATGCAATTTGTATTTGAGTGACTGGAGTAATCTGTGTTTGGATTCTGTAGTTTGACACTGCATTTGCAATAAATCATACACCGATCCACTGAATAATGAATTCATTCACTGGAAATAAATCAATTTAAAATGCCCCATAATACAATATCAAATTAATGTATAGACATTTATTAATTTCACAATCATGTCTGTGTGTGCGTGTGTGTCTGTGCACATGTGCATACATGCATTAAGGCTGTACAATGCTTACAGAAAATGGGATGTGTGATATAGTATGTTTTTAACATTTCAGTGGTGATATGAGATAAAATAGTTCCTGTGTCTCAGGTTTGGTATGTTGTAACCATAGCCCTGCTTATTTTCAGCATTAAAATAGCAATATATACATATATATATATACAACATATTTTCAATATGCAATTGATAATATCTCATTCTGACAACATAAAAATTACAAATACAAATTTAGAACTGTTTTTATCAAGTAGCATTTTAACCTTTTAAGCTAAGTCAAACAATTTTCCAGTGACTGGATGGCTTTTACTGTGAAGCAGCTGCACCAAAAAATGGTGAATGATGTCACTCCACACCCATAATCCTTCATGCTTCTGCCTCTCACCTCCACATCATTCATTATGCACCATCAGCAATTTTTTCAGGAATTGAGAACAGTGACCTTTCTGTGGTTTCCCGACGATGCACAGGGCTTTAACAAGTTGTATTTACCCCTGAAAGTCATGAACACCCTCAACACATGTTAGATAACCATTAGAATTTTCAGGTCACATTCATCAGCTGCAGTTTGCTCGTCTCTCCCTTGTGTTTGCCTCATTAATTCACCCTTCTACAAAGTAACGCTGCCTTGCCTTTGACGTCTACTCGACCCCTTCACACTCAACTTTACATTTTCCTTTCCTCAGACCTGTCCTCACCACTGCTCCTGGGTCACACATCCTGTCCTAGCTTCCTCTCTGTCACAGGTTATGTCAGGCAGCACACTATGACACAACACTGTCAGTGATGCGGCTTAGTTAGAAGGTTTACCTAAGGGAAAATATTGCTACCCTGTCACATGTGTTTTGCAGGGAGTTGAAATAGAGCACTGCAGTTTGTGTGTGTGTGTGTGTGTGTGCGTGCATGCGTGCTTGCGTGCGTGCGTGCGTGAGTGAGTGACTGTGTGTGTTTCCCATCCCTGTCCCAGGGCTGTGCAGACTTCCACAGTGTTTGATGCTGATCTGACCAGTCAGTGTGCAGACGCAGCACTGCATGCCTCAGCTGTCCCACAGACACGCAGGAAGATGCACACACTTTTAACTGGTGAAGTTGAATCTAAAATAAGTGACATCATATCATCATTTAATGCTTGATAAACAAAACTGAAGTTACAACAGACACTTTTGTACAGTGTAGTTGCCCAGACTCTGGCCAAGTGTCTCACATGTAGAGCCATGCCTGCTCATGATGCGAGTGTTAAAACACCCGCTTGTTTGGCCCCTAGGCTGGACAGTTGTCCCTTCAGTTATCAGGTCTCGTGGATTGCGGTGTGCGCGCGTGTGTGTGTGTGTGTGTGTGTGTGTGTGTGTGTGTGTGTGTGTGTGTGTGTGTGTGTGTGTGTATGTGCGTCCGTGTATGTATGTGCGTCTGTGTGTTTTGACTGTGTTTGTGTCTTGTAGCTTAGCTTATGGCTGATATTGTCCCAGTCTGAACTGGGGTGAAAGTCACAGTCATTGAATGATGCAGTACTATGCCTTAAGTTGAATTAAAGTGCACTTGTATCAGTCAGTGTTTGTGTCTCCAGCTGCTGAGATAATAAGATTCTGTATCCTGCTATTGTTATTATGGCTGCCAAAGAAAACAACAATGTGTAAAATGTGGTGTTGAAAAGGTGATTTTTTTTTCCAACAGCAAAAACTAAAAACTAATCGGTAACCATAGCCTGACAAAGTATTGAATTGTGTGGGACCATTTTAAAACAATTCTGCATGTTGTTTATATACAGTTTGTGAACTTTCATTTGTGTCTGACTTTAAGCCCTCTCTGCGTCAGACACGAGACATTGCGTAATATACCACTCACTGTGTTGGCAGGTGAAGTACAGTCAGCTTTTTGGCTATTTGAATTCAAGTTTGCTTCCATCGCAGCATCATTTTTCTTCTCCTTTTCAATGTTTTAGTTTGTATATTTTTTTTACGCAGCTGAGGTATAAGTGTCACATATCTTAATGTAGATGTGTATATTATTAGGAAATGGAAATTATGACCATAATCACTACTGGGTGTTGAGGAGGAACGAGGTGAGGAATTTTCATAATTTTCATAATTTGTGAAGGATGACATTTTTACGTTGCGGGGAAAAACAGAGGGAAACAAAGTATGTAAACTGTACTAATACACAAAAAGTAGTGCATTACTGTTTTTTTGCTGATGCCCAGCAGCTCCATCTATCCTCGCCCCCCCCCCCATCACTCCCCACCTCCCCAGACCTCCCCCTCTTCTGTCTTTGCAGTATGACTGCAGTGTGAGTCACACAGGCAGCCTCTGTCTTAGTCAGACACGTACCTCCTAGGACAACACTGTAGAGCTCACCAGGGCAACAGTGTTTTTATTTTAACCTACTGTGCTGCACCCATGGGAGTGGGTGGGTGGAGGGTAAGGGGGGGCCGCAAAGGCAACGTCAGGACAGAGAAGAGAGGACTAATCCTTTTAAGTTGCAAAAGCTGAGCTGCAGCTGAACCGGACATGTCTGGCTTCAGAGGATGAACTTTGATGGGAAGAGGGAGAGTCACAGGCTGATTGAAGTGGAGTCGGGTGGGGTGCATGTGTGTGTAAATACACAAGTATAACATGTGTGTCTGTGTGTGTGTGTGTGTGTGTGTGTGTGTGTGTGTGTGTGTGTGTCTGTGGGTGTGTCCTGTAAGGAGATGATGGATGAGGGCCCTACTTCTCCCCAGGGGTTTGATTGGTGCTCTGTCTGAGCCTGCTTAGCCCACAGTTAGATCATTACTTCAGATGCAGACAGTCTTCATCTCCCCTATCTTATTCTCAAACTGGGGCAGAGGGGTTTGGTGCCGTGTATTCAGAATTACCAAGCACCAGCATTTCAGGTTGAGCTCAAATAGGCAATACGTGGGCATTAGTAACAATTTGTGTCTTTATCACCATGCTGATATACTGTACTATTATAAACTGACCTCCAGGCCAAGTTGAACATTTGGTTGGGCGGGAGGGGAGCATGACATGACACGGAGCAGGATCAAGCTTTGGGTAATCATTTCAAAGCCTGTCATTGAAATTCTGTCCCTATATATAAAATTTCTCTAGTAATTGTTAATGCTCGAATCTACGTCTGCAGTACCTATGTTTGTGATTATCATGAATGTATAGAGACAGAATTTCAATGACAGCCTGCGAAATGATTACCCAAAGCCTGATCCTGCTCCGTGTCATGCCACGCTCCCCTCCCGCCCAACCAAATGTTCAACTTGGCCTGGAGGTCAGCATTGACTTTGTGAGGTCTGGTATTGGGGAGTGCAGGCGCTTGGCTTGGAGAGGTGAAGTAAGGGCAGAGTTTGTCTGTCTCACTCTCTGCATATAAATACAATGTGCAATGCCACTGAATTTCAGTGCGGAGTCAGGAATCTTAATGTTAAGACGTTTGTCAGAATCACTTAATTTTTACAGGAATCTGCCTCATCATGTTATTATGACAACATACGTGACAAAAAATAAATGTGCTAAAACACATACAATTATGACTTTCCTGCAACACATCAAGATAAACACATTCATGCTGTGATATCAGATTCACAGGGAGTCCATTCACTGGCAAATTGATAAAACTGATTAACTAATATACTGTAGATTTGATTACATCAGGTGTGATGGCATCAGTCTCTTGCTGGTAACTCATATTACCATTCAGACAGCTGTGACGTAAATCAAATCAGGAGAATCCAAGAGGGCTACAATCGATCTTTTCATCCTCTCGCCACTTTAGATATTTATTTTTTAGGGGTACATTACAAAGCGGCTGTGTTTTCTCACGAGTCGCTGCGTGCCTTTGAAGTTGAGGACGTGCCAGCCAATTTGAGTGACGCTTACATTTGGTTCTTTGATGCTTCTAGGTAGTGTGGGAATTAGCTATTACTGAGGCAAGCCTCTCCTCTTCTGGAGTCAGCTTACATTTTCAGTGGATGGCTGACAGTTTGGTTCCATTTATCCGGTGGGATTGTTATTTGGTTTCTACTTTAGCTGATTCTTCTCCCTTTGGAGACAATGAGATACATTTCCTGATTTTGTTGGTGCCCTACAGTGTCCCTTAATTCTAATATTAATCTCAGCTCATTTTTACACTATTACAAAAAAATAAAGGAGTGTATGCCTGTTGATTGGGCCCATCGGCTGTTAACCCTGCATGTACACACAAAAACAAACTGTCTTTCATAATCAAGAAATGCAGCACGTTTATTATGACTTATACCAGACAAAACTGTGAGTCACAATAACAAAAGCCCTCAACATGTTTGGTACCTATGCTTCTCCTGTTCTGATCCAGTTGTCTGACACTGACTCAGCCTGGTTTGCACAAATCTTGCACCAGTGTAATTTCCATTCACGCTTCAAATACAGGTAACATGAAGGTCTATTTTCCAGTTTCTTGTCATGCATTTGTTTTAAATGGGATTTGAAATGTTTCATCTGCTTTACTTTTCACACAGATGAGATTTGGAAAGGGGGGGAAATGATGTTTAGATTAGCAGTGCCATTTTGCTTGAGTAAAATTGTGATTGCGAACCCCCAGTGTAGCTAATATTCGGGCCTAGGATAAATACTCAAAACTTAACACCACATTACAGTAAACACAATTTCAGGGTTATTTGTGTCATGTGGGCTGCTTTTCTTGCACCCTCAATAACACAGGTTTTCTCTCTTTGGTCTCACACCTGTCATGTCTGCCCTTGTATTACTAATCGCATTACTAACTAATCTCACTAACAGGTATTTCTTTGTTGTTGTTGTTTTTTTTTTCATTTGCTGTGCTGCTGCAGTCTCCAACCAAGTGGTACATGAAGCTTGTGCCTGTAAGTCAACTACGCTTTCTTATCTATGTATCCATACTGGCCGCCTCTCCCGCCTCCTCCCTCTGCCTGTCTTGATTGCCATCATTTTATCACAAGTGTGCATCAGCCTGTGACTTCACTGTTACATAAACACAGCTTTTCTCTATTATCCTGTGTTTTGATTAACAAATGTTCCCTTGTGCTGTATCCATGTGATTTAATGTACAGCAAAAATAAGAAAAGACACGTCAGTAACTGTAGCTGTAGAGTGTGAAGGACATTTGAAATCAGTTGTCCTTCATTATTTTCTAGTCTCTATGAACTGCTGTTTACTATAAGGTTACGTTTATCGAAATCCTGGGTTTATATATTAGGAATATGTTTGTTTGAACTATTCTCTAACATACTGGCTTGTACTTGCTAATAGGAAGTTTCTTCTCAGTGGAACAGGACACCCTTGGGGAATCACTGAAGAGGTCCCAAGAGATTAGCCAAAAAATGAAAGAAAAAAAAAAAAGCTTAATTTTATTGGAATGTCATTTCACAGATGGGATGTCTGGGAGCATTTTGCATGAAATGATTTCATGAGTCTCCGTGCCAGCGCTCACTGTACGCCCTCTTGTAACATTGTCTCTTTTCACCGTAAACATTATATGTGACTGTGTAGACGAATGTATGTTATGCACCTACTATTACTATACATACAAAGTGACACACTGATAGAGCAGTTTTGAGTGTTTTTCATTTTGAATGCTATCTGTAAATACTTATTTATTTATTCAAAATACTCACCATGTTGAGCAGGTACTTATTTTGATCTTCATCACAACATTAGATCACACCATCTGGAAAAATTGATTGTGCAGCCCGACTCACTGCCATGGTGGATGTTGTTTACTCTCATTGGGCTCACCATTTACTACGAATGCTGTAAGGCTGCAGAACCATTCAACTACCTTCATACATGAGTAAATCTAATGACGCTTCCATGAGTTTTAAAGTGTTGCTGCTGCTTTAAAGAGACATTAAAGATAGAGCCGTTGTGATGGTTGCGCCATCATACTGTACATGACTCATTCTGCAGGCATGGGTAATGATTGAAGAAAAGAAACAATAGGAACTGTAGATGTAGGGAAGGTAATGTTGGCACTTTGGTTTACAGGTATATAATTTATGTCCTACAGGCTCGGTACAGGAAGGAGCAGGCCTCGACCCAGCCAGTTCCCTGGATCCCCCCAGTGGACAACCTGCTGAAAGACAGCACAGACGGCTCGGCCCTGGGCGCTCTGCTGCACTTCTACTGCCCTCAGCTGCTACAACTGGATGGTAAGGAGCTGGGATGAGAAGGTGGGGAGCTTACAGTTAGAGTGGTCTGAAGGAAGAGTGTGTGTGTGTGTGTGTGTGTGTGTGTGTGTGTGTGTGTGTGTGTGTGTGTGTGTGTGTGTGTGTGTGTGTGTGTGTGTGTGTGTGTGTGTGTGTGGGTGTGTGGGTGTGTGTGTAGGTTTTAGGGGAGGCTGTCTGCAGTTCCTGCCACAAAGTGCAAGGTGACCTTTATTTATCTCCAAAAGAAGGAGAAGGAGGTCTTTTTACCAAAACAACAGAACTGACATTAAAAAAAAACTTTTCAACTTAACAAAACCAGAAATGGCAAAGCAAAGTTTATTTATTTATGTATTCATAGCAAATACCAGTTCAGTGATTCTGCCTTTTTAGATACAGAATCAGGGCTTTTTTTTTATTTCTCACTAATTTTTGGTGTTTAAGAAGTCTGAAAATATTTTATTTTATATTACAGTTATACTGTTTGGGGGTAGATTTGTGTCATTTTGTCCTCCTCCTCTGAATGATTAATTCAATAGAGCAGAGATCAGTCGCCAACAAATGATACCACATAATCACATCACTTGCTGATGAAGTGTGTTGATAATGGTTACAGTACATGCATACACAAGTATTCAACTAAACTGAAAACCTCACGAGGACAAAAGATCAATCAGTTGCGATTCTTCAAATCTATTAACACACAGCTCCACCCACCAGTTGATGACAGTCCACCGTCATGATTGGTCAGTCATTTACAAGCCATTATGCTTAAACACCTCAGCAGCTCTTCGCTTGAAGATCCTCAACACTGCACACATCTCTGATCTTTACCATCAGTACCATCAGCACTATCCGACCACAACCCCTTTAATCATCGAATTCATACTGACGTCACACTGACCCTGACTCCTGATGGTTCCCTCTGCCCTCCCAGATGTCTGTCTGAAGGAGAACATGACGCTGGCTGATCGGCTGTACAACCTGCAGCTCATCCAAGACTTCTGCAAAGACAACCTGAACAGCTGCTGCCACTTCAGCCTGGAAGACATGCTCTACGCCTCCTCCACTATTAAGGTACTGCTCAAATAATGCATAAGTTAGTTGGAGTTTCATTTCCAAAGTGAGATATTCACTTTTACATTTGAAATCATTTTGACCCTTACTCCTGTATCAAACCATTTAAATTTAGTTGGTAAGTAAGGTAAGTAAGTCTTTGAGTGACATGGTTATTGTATTTATACAGATCAGTGCCCGAATTTTAAAGATTTTTAATGAGTAAAAGTTAATTATTGTTTGTTTTTTTTTAAATATGCTGAAATCATTTTGGAAATGAAATTATTTGTTAATTTTTTTTTTCTGTGTAAGAGTTTGTATTTGGAGGCACTAGCTGGTCTTGTAATTTGAGCTCAATGATAATTTGAAGGAATTTCTGTTCTTTCTAAACATAAACATGTGCAAAATGTCACCAAGCAGAAAGCTCTGACTTAACAAGCTGTATGTTTTGTGATACTGCTCCTGTTTGGTTGGTGTCCAGATCTCTCTGCAAAACAATTCTCCACTCTGAAATAGCTTTTACAGTTAGTGTGTAAAAGTCATTACAGTCTTGGAGAAATATCAGAAATGTCAGAATTCAAACTGCTGAACTGATACCATATTCAAACTGTCCCTTTTCAAGTGTTGCCAGAAAGGAGCTATGCCAGTGGTAGGTAGTAGAAAAACAACCATGTGAGAAAATGTAACCCCATATGAAATGGTTGTTAAACTAAAATCCAGATAAGTGATATAAGTCATAATTACAGACAAATCCAAATGTCCAAATGTTAAGTTAATGATTGTTTCCATAAACTCACACAAATCCTGTATGTGTTAATTCATTCATGGATTTTTGACTAAACAAATTAGAAAACCATATGGTGTTGTATTCAGTCAGAGGGGCTAAATGAAACAGGAGAAATGAGCAGCTCTGTGGGCCAGTGTGGTGAGTCATGCTGTGGAAAAACCGTTCAGTCCAAACTGTCTACACCAACCACAAGCACAGAGAGCTTCACTCGGCCTGCTCTCTCAACATGTCTGCATGTGTTTTTTCATTCTTTCCTCACACTCTTTCCTTTCCTTGTCTTTCTTAAGTAATTTGAATTAATTTCCTTCCTTAATTTCGTTTCCATTGTTTTTCCTATCTTTCCTTCCTTGTCTTTCGTTCCTAATTCCCTTCTCCAATTTTCTTCTTGAACTTGCTTGCGCTTTTCTTTCTTTCTTTCTTTCTTTCTTTCTTTCTTTCTTTCTTTCTTTCTTTCTTTCTTTCTTTCTTTTGTGTTACTTTCTGACTAATTTCCTCCTATCATACTTTGTCTCTCTATTTCTGATCTTTTTTTAATCACTCATTGTCTTTTCTCTCTCTGTCTCGCACTGACTCACTCCATCTCTCATTTACAAGCTCATTTTATCTTGTGTTTGTTCCCACACCTCTCCTCTGACATCCATAGCCTATATATATACTGTATGTGTGTGCGTTATTGAGGGTTGTCTGCTGCTGATGTGAGATTACAGATTGCAGAGTCACCTTAGTTCAGCCACAGGTCTGGTAAAAATATCCAGAGGTGACAGTAATAAGTCAGAAAGCTTTATTGTTTTAAACTGGCAGAGGTGACACACTGCTGGATTGCTGTCTGACTCAAAACAGAAAGGGAGTGCTGACGTTATACGGCTCTACTCTTCTGTGCAGTTTTCCTTCTCTTCATGTTCTTCTTGTTTTTCAAAACTAGGTTTATGCCAAAGAATTCATGGGAAAAGGGTCTTAATTTAAGTATGTGTGAGATTGTTCCACCCAGTGATTCCACTTCTTTAAAGGATAGATGATAGTTTTCTTGGTCAGTTGCTGTGTGCACATGTTTGTATTTTTGTTGCTGCAGGGAACTTATCCTTTTTATAAAACAGCTCTAATGGCCACTGGAGTCCACAAAAACAGCCTCTGTCACTATTCTGCCACATAAAAAGCATTATGGCTACCGCAGTGGCAACGTGCTAGTATTTGTCTGGTGGTTTGGTGTGTAACTTTCCCTAGCTGTTTGTTTGTGCTTGTGTACATCTCAATGTGTTTTGCCTGAGAGCTGCATAAGTGGTAAAAAAACAAACAAACAAAAAAAAAAAACAAGGGACTGTGTCTGGATGAGTTTGACTTTGTCTGACTGTCACCTCAGCATGTCCTCTGATGCAGGACTGTTGTTCTCAGCACAGATAGAATACAGGTCACTGAAAGGACAACATCAGTAGACTGTTCAAACTGGCTAAACATCAATTTTCAAGCTACTTTAAACCTAAAAAACAGGCTTTGCAGTTGTGGCGATGCTTTTATCCTTTACACACACTAAGTTAAATAAGTTAGTCAGCTGAGTTGAAGTGCTCCCAAAAAACATTATGAAACCGAGACTTGAATTCAGAAGCTTAGACATGAAAAATAGAGCAGTGCAGCACCAGCGGTATTGATATATGTAGTAATATTATAGAGATATATATATAAATCATAGTTCGGTGATAAAATGCTGAAATGCTGAAAATAATTTCACACTCTAAGCAGCAAAAAGCTCAGATACAGTACATCGACTAAACACACAACATGGAAAAAAAAATAATTGAGTCGTGCGAAGCAGCCAGTATCAGTATTTTGCTGATGCTGATTTCACAAGGGATAAAAAAAAAAAAAAAATCCCAGCAGGGCAGAGTTATTGCAGCCAGAACTGCACACAGAACCAGATAGATTCAGTAACCTTGACCCAGTTTCCAGGTTGTCATGTCCTCAGCAGCTGTACGTCTTGGCCCCGTCATACTAATGGAGACCTTATTATAGAGAGTGAGCCGAGACATCAGACTGGAGGGAGGGAGGAAGCGAGAGAGGTGTTGATGTGGAAGAAAATGGAAACAGGAGAGAAGAAATGAGGAGGAGTGAAATGGTTAGAGAGGAGATTGAAGTGTAAAAAGAGAGGAAGAGGGACAGCATCATTTGGGAACTTGATTATGTGTTTAGACATGTCCCATCACCGAAACATACACACAGTCAAACACAGAGGAGCACACACCATGATAAATATCACACTTGACGTTGAATGTGTTTCTGTGCTAATTCTTCCATCACATGTGATTAGAGATTATTAGACCTGATGTTTTCCATTTAGAATGAAGAACACAAAACTGTATGAAGGAATATTTCCCAAATTTCTAAATTTCTATAGTTGCAACTGATTATTTTATTGACTGATTAGTTGCTTTCTCTATGAATTGTCATAAAAACACCTATTATAATTTCTTGTTTTGTCTGACCAACAATCTAGTTCTGTTTACTATCAAAAAATGACAAGGAAAAGCGCTAAATCTTCACATTTAAGAAAATGAAACAAGGGAATGTTTTGTTGTCCTTGAAAAAGGACTGGATTATTAAAATAGCATTGCAAAGTTGAAAATAAGTAAGTCTTAAATTATTGACACAAGATAAATGTCATACATTTGACTTCTTGTCTGATCTGCAATAACACAGAGGACATCAAAACACAAGAAAGACAAAACCTGAAAAATAAGCATTAAAGGAGACACCTCAGTTCAGTTTCAATGTAAGAACTAGACTGTAGCTGGTGTGGCTTAGACACTTTAATAGATATTATTAGTCATCTGCAGACACCAGGTACATTTTGCATTTTTGGTGAAGTAGGGATCCATTCAACATTATGTTTGAAAATTCCCAAATAAGAGACAATGGATTAACCCTCAGTTCCCAACCCCCAATGCTATAGAATACACACATTACTTACGAAGCCATTTTTTCCTAATGGACATGGCTAGTAAATCACATCAACGCACTCCCATTTGCTGGCTCTTCTTTTAATTAATTCACAGCACATGTAGATTACCATCTGTGGATCCAAGAAGGAGAAATGAAATTCACCAGCTTTGGTTTTTCGCCAGTGTTTACTTCTTCTTTTTTTTTTCTTTTAGCAGAGATGCTGAGGTTGCCCCAAGGAAGACAGTGAGTTATAAGTTACCTCTTCAACATGGCTCTCAGTTAGTTTATCATTTGTCTACAATCTGGTCCACTGTGAGATATCAGTTGACAAAAGTCACATGCAGTATTTAGATTAACTACCCCCCCACCCCGCCCCACCCTGCCCCACCTATTATCTGATAATCCCCAGTGGGACTTGCACTAAGTATTGCATTAAAACAAACCTCAGTTCCTAGAGCACCAGAGTAGGTACGGGGGTGCAAGGGTTATGTGATGTTCAAGTAATGGTCGATCTTTTCAGTGTCATGATACCTTCGTCAATTCATCACTGGATATCTTAACATGAAGCTTTGGTCTCATGTCTGTGTTTTGCCTCCGTTAGAAATGTTATTTTAATTTTCTGCTTTTAGAAATACAACGTAAATCTAGGGTTTTTTGTTTTTTTGTTCAGCGGGCAGCTGAGGGCAGCCTGATAAACTTGGCGGTAAATCAAGAGAGTGAGTTTTCCAGATTGGAGTGAGTCTGTCTGTCTGGCCGCAGGATCTAGATCCTTTAATCAACTCTCTGGCACAATGATTGTTGACATTAATGCCCTGTGAATGCTCAGTGCATGGCTAGGTCATGTGTCTCGCTGAGTTGGGTAATGCAATTTGTAGGGTGTGACCTGCTGATTGCATTTTTGTACATGAAAGACCTATACATTGACAGTGCATTTAAACGTTACACCATTCATGTGTGAGTGCGTGCACATGTAGTACATGCAGGACAGAGGAGGCGCAGCGGGGGGGGGGGCTGTTTGTGCCCATCCCTGCAGAGTGGATTAGCTCCCCCTCCTCACCCCCACCTCCCTCCCTCCCCCCGAGCTCTTCTAGTAATCACCAATCAGGTTCCTGTTTTCATTCTGAGAGTGACACAGTCTGACAGTCAAATCTCCAAACAGCCAGATCTGGCAACGCTGCAGACCTGGCAGTCCATGAGGTAGTAATGCCAGTCAGTGGGGAGATAGGCGCAGTGGTGGTGCGGTGGTAGGTTGTTTAGGGATCTGTGTGAGTGTGTGTGACTGCTGACTGGTGGTATTAAGCGATAACACTCACACCTGGTGTGTCCATAGTAGTCAGAGGGACAGATGGGAGGAGAGAAGTGAATTTGGATTGTTGCCACCAATCTGGGCTGAACGGAAGATAGGAGATCGTTGTCTCTCTCTCTCTCTCTCTCTCCCTCTCTTTCTTTATTTCTTTCTGGCTCTTCCTTCTTCTGTTCATCTTATCCAAGGAATGCTTCAAATGCTGAACACACCTAAAGGTAACCAGCACTTTGGTATTTCACTCGGTGTTTGTTAGCAATTCTATGTTTAAGAACTGTTTAATCCCAGAGGCGCAAGAAGGGCAAATGTAACTCAAACATATGTTGAAAAGGATGAAGGATACGATGAAACATTTGTAACAGACCCACTGTTAAAAAATTTAAACTCTAAGCAACTATTCTGTTTGCACGTAAAGATGATGATTAGATATTTTTCTGCTTGACTTTAATTACTTTGGCATGTGCGCTACTTCCCACACCTACAGCACATTCTGTCATTGCAGACACACCTTCTCAGACTTTTGCAGCTCTGCACACTGGCACGTGAGGTAAAAACAAAAGGGGGTTAAAAAAAAAAAAAAAAAGTAAAATGCTGCAGTAACACCCAAGGGAGACCAGTGCTGTTGGTGTTAATTGCCTCTGCCCCTCCTGATGAGCTTTTGGGCTGCAGTTTAGGGGCTTAAGGAGCGTATGTATGGTGTGTGTGTGTTCTAACGTGTGGCTGGTAGAGTGAAATGATGCTGATGAGGTGAATCAGGTATCTTTAGAGCTGAGCCATGCAGCACTGTCTTTGTCTGGAGACCATGGACTGAGGGTGGGGAGAGGGCGTGTTTCCTCAAGGTCGTTCCTGCTTCACTGCACTCGTTTTGCATAGACATATGTATTTGTGAGCATCTGTGAGTGAGCATGTTCACTGTAAAAGCTGATCAGTTTTGACTGATAATTAATCATGCAGTGATTCCTTAAATATGTTATAGTGTATAAAAATCTGCTTGAGATAAACTGTTTTCAATACAATATATCGAGGATAATGATATTTATTTAGAACAAGCAAAGCTTCATCAAGAACAGTTGGAATAATTTCACTCATGACAGCAAAAAATTGTCTTTTGTTACAAAAAAAAGTACTTAGACATTTTTACAGTGTTGGCAAAAAGAGCAACAAAAAGACATGCCAGCCATGCTGGCTGAAGCACGTGGTGCTTCTCCAGTAATGTCTATTGAAGGCTACACACTGTATCATTACTCCTCTATACAGCATAGCTCTTATTTATTGTCTTTACAAAACAAGTGTAAAAGTCTTTCACAGGTCACACATTTTTACTGTGTTATAAGGAAAAAAACATTGGTTGAAGGAAAATATGATAATCCTGGGTGAAATGACTTTGTAAGATGGATATTTTTTGCAGTACAATGTCCTCAAGCAGTTTGACCTCCAACTGTATGTTGACCTGATTTGGACATTGACATGACCTGGCACAGCGGTGGCAAAAATCCCTCCAACATTACTTACCTGTCTAATTCAGGTCAACTGGTGGATTGCATGCTGTGTGATTGAGAAGAGAAAAAATATCTGACCTCTATTTTATAAATTAGGGTAATGTCCTAATCACTTCTCTGTACTACCACAGGTACTATTGACATTATTTAGTAAGTGGACAATTAGCTTATCCACCATGTAAAAAGCCAGGATGCTAGTTACATCTGGTTAGCTAACACAAAAAAAAAATCTCACAGTATGAAAGGTCTAGCTTGTGAATAAGTCATGGAAGCGATATTTCCATTCAAAAGAACCTCACTCATTTGAGAAAATATCTTTGCTATATTCCCTTGTACATCACTGGACTGTAGTTTGAGCTATGAAGCATCTTTCTCTTATGAGGATACTCATGAAATGGAGTAAGATTGGTGAATTATTTATATGCAAAGTGGAAATACAATAAGCACTGGTATCTGCAGGGGGTCAACAGAGACACCTGCTGGAGAAATAGGTACACTGCAATTGTATGACAGTCGATATTATGAATAAAGTGACAATTGGATACAGGGAATCTAAGGTATTTAAGGTATCTTTGAGCCGAGTGATTGAATACAACCCATGTTTTTTATGTTATTCTTGTTTGATTTTTTCCCCCCAGAATAACTATCTGGTGTTCATGGCAGAGCTGTTTTGTTGGTTTGAGGTGGTCAAGCCGTCTTTTGTGAAACCAAGAACGCTGGGCAACGAAGGCACAGGCAAGTCTTAAAAGCTCTGATCTTCCAGTAGCATTCATAGTAGCAATAGCAACAACAGTATCATGCATAGAGAGAGTGGTGGTAAGTGCATGTTCCTGTATTCTATATGTGACACACATAAAGCAAAGTGATCAAGGAGAAAATGAGGTACAGTGTTATGTTGCTGTCCAGTTTGATAATTCGTCTCTGTTGTATCACCTCAGATCCCTCTTCCTTGTTGAAGAGTATTCCAGCCATTCCCATCTCCAAGGCAACTAAGAGAAGCTTCATGGAAAGATCCCCCAGTCCTGAAAGACCCAGGTATGTTAGTTGAAATTATGATACTCAGTGTGAAACTTTGTAACATGAATTCTGTGTTATATACTGTGTGTACTTCTAAAAGTGCATCCTTGTATCCTTATCTGGATAAATGAAAGCTAAAAAGGACAATAAAAGTATATATTACAATTTATATAATGTCTGTCATTTTCTTACTCTCATTCTCCAGTTTGCCCCTCCGACCCCAGCCTAGAAACTCAGGTAATTCTTTTTTTTACCCAAATTGTACTGTAAGGTATAAATATCAAACTATGATTACCCGTGGGTACAATAACCTCTGTTTTGAATTTTACTTTGCTTACTTGTGTCCCACAGGAGAGATTAAGAGGTCAACCTCAATGTCCTTTGTTGATGGCAATCTCGGCACCTGGCCTAAAGAGAAAAGGTTTGCAATATTGCTGTCCTGTTCATGTGCTGCTCATTTAAAATATCCAAATCCCCAAGAGAATTAATCATCCCATGGGGATTAAGAAAAGCGTATTGTGATGTTGCCAAACCAGACTCTTTCCTCAAATAACCTTTTCAAATTTGTTAGCAAAAAAAAAAGCGCCTGTTGATGAAATTACAGTTTCTTTTTTGTTTTTCTGTTAAGATCTGGGCCTTATGGAGTGTCTTTTGACATCCCCTTTGACAAAGAGGACTCTGCTCCTGCACCTCTTTCCTCCACACGTGGCATGGTCAGGTCTGTCAGCACCGATGACGGTTCTGGTTTCAAGGTCCACCACCTGCCCCGTGGAATGAAGCGCAACTTATCTTTCCAGCCAGTGAATGGTCAGAGTATTGGTATTGAGGAGGAGGGCTGCCCAGACAGCCTAGCTGGTATGGAGCCTGGCAGGCAAGCTTATCCCAACGGACATGGGAGTGTCATGGCAACAACTCCCTCCATGGAGGAGGCCCTGCAGATTATCCATAGTCCTAGCAGGCCCCCAGTGGAGGGCATCAACAACGGTTTCTTCCTGCACAGTCAGGACCATGCGGCTACTGTTGGTGGCTTAGAGCCAGTGTCAGAGGTGGACTCCAAAGGACCTCTGAGCACCACAGACACCACAGAGGTGGACACTGGGATCCATATTCGAACAGAGGACATGCTAGATGAGGATTCCTCTCTGAAAGACTGCTCTGTGAACATGGAGCTGGATATGGATACGCCAAGCCCTTGCCCGAGCAGCCAGAGCAAATCCCCCACAGGAGTGAAGTTGACCAGCTTTGCTGAACAGAAACTGAAGAAGATCAATCCATCAGCGCCAGACTCAGGGAGGGGCAGCAGCAGCTCCCTCAAGACCACTCCTGAGGGCTCTGAGTTTGGCCTCCCATTATCTGTCTCCTGGGCCCCAACCCCTGAGCACAGCCCCATCCATCAACAAACCAAATCGCCCCTTACTGCACAAGCATCACCAACACCTGTCCAGCTTCCACCCAATGACCCTGCTCAGGTCATGGCTACAGAGATGGTACAGCTGAGGATGAGGCTGGAGGAGAAACGGAAAGCCATTGAAGCACAGAAGAAGAAAGTGGAGGCTGCTTTTACAAGACATCGGCAAAAGATGGGTCACTCTGCGTTTCTCAATGTGGTAAAGAGAAAAGGGGATGGGGCTGCCAGTGGAGAGGAAGGAGGGAAAACTGAGGGAGAAGGCAAGGCAGCAAGCACAAGTCCTGTCTTTAAATTTGGAAGGAGCAAAGCAGACACACCTGATGGGGCAGAACAAAGCAACACAGCCTCCTGTTGGACAAAGTCACCCGTTGCAGGAGAGGAGGGTGGACAAAGTCCCGCTCAGTTAACTGAGGTGGACCTCACAGAGTATACACGTTCTATTGAGAAGCTCAACCACTCATTAGCATTCCTCCAGACTGAGATGCAGCGACTGGCTCAGCAGCAGGAAGTCATCATGGCCATGAGGGAGCAACAACATCAGCAGGCGTGGGTCATCCCTCCTCCACATACAAACCCCTCACCGCAAAAACACAGTCGAGCCGGAGCTGTTACTCGATCCTCAGGACCCTCCTCTCCTGCTGACTCCCCTCGTTCCACCCACCGCTCTCCAACCAGCATCAAACGAAAATCTGCCTCCTTCCACTCGCGTAATCCCCGCACTGCTCGTCCCACCGAGCTCAAGCTAGCCCCCTACAATCGAGTCCTAACCGCCCCGCAATCTGTCGATAGCATCCCAAGGCTGCGTCGATTTTCTCCCTGCCAGCCTTTGGCAAGTTCCTTCGTTTACATGGGAGAGAAACCAGCAACCGCCAATCCGGAGACAGTAGCTCCAGATGGAGATAAAAACAAGGAGATTGATTCCCTCTTTTCCCCAGAGAGGGACCTTGCCAGTGTATGTGTAGCCAGCTCCCCCCCCAGCTCCCCCACCCAGCAGAACAAAAGAGGGAAAACAGAAGTAGATTCAAATGCCAAAACCCAGGAAACAGAGGCTCACAACCAATCCAAGATCACTGCCGCTCACAAATCAGTTGTAGATGTCAAACCTACCATAGAGTCATCATTCCCTGAGGTACTGGCCCACCCTGTGGTGGAAACCTTCACACTGACACCCACAGAGATCCCTCCCCAGCCAGAAGCTTCAGGCCAAGCAAAGAGCAGCTTGATTGAGGTTCCTCTTTCAGTCGTGAAACCACTGGAGGACCTGACCCTTGATGATGGTTTGGAGATGCAGCAGGGAAATGCAGAAGGCCTGGATGAGGAGCAGAAGATGTGTCGTGGTTTCTTCTTCAAGGTAGGCTGTTGTTTCAGACAATGTCTTTCACCGTATTACATGAAGAATGTTTGGACTTTCCTTCATTTCATTTCAGCCCATTATCTACACTTTGTAGCGGCTTCTCTTTTTAAAACAGATAAAAAGAAGGATTTGCTCAAAGGCCAAATGTGTAATGTTCAAAAATGAGTACAGTCACTCAAGAGAGTTGAATAACAGCAGCAGAGAGTAATAACACCAGCAAGTAAGATCACCAGTCATTAAAAAAAAACAAAAAAAAACATGTGTAATTAAACATTAATAAAAACATAAAGCCAACAGCATAAACTTTAAAATGTAGTGGTGAAGATCTGGAAAAGAAGCAATTATACATTTGAACCTCGGGCAGCCATGTTTGTTTTTATCAGGAAACGCTGTTGTTCCTAATATGAGATGGTGAATTGTTCCGGAAACAAGCCAGCTTGAGGACAGTGTTATCTTTCCATTTATGGGTTGTAAGATGTCTTGCTATCTGCAGTCTGGGCTTCGATTTAGGTCAGAAAACTGGGGCTGTTGTGAATAATTCAGGCACAGCTGTGGAAATGTGGGGTTGGAGAAGTGTTAAACTGAATAGATTGTGAGGGTGGATACCAAGGGACGAACAATGAAGATGTTCACATGAAATAAAAATCTAGATGAAACTGATTTATATCATATCATATTCTATGATATAGCAGGCCGGCTGGTATACCTACTCTATGTTGGGAAAAACTGAATTCCAATTGAGTTTCTTATTGTAGGGCCATAGTAAAAAAACACGATTTGACATTAATAATAGATTCCGAGTCTGTATAAGATGTCAATATTTTACAAACCATGTTTTCAATAGTCTGCTGCTCTCTTGCTTTAGTCAAGGTTCATGCAAACTATCTTAAGTGCAGTGAGATGTGGCCATAAATATCCATGAAATAAGGGAAATGCTGTTTTTCTTTTCTTATATATACTCAATACATCAATTGCAATATATGTTTAAGTGTAAAAAAATAAATAAAAGAATGTCTAGCCCAGAGAAAAATCCTCTACTCTGTTGCCAGCCTTTTTACTGTCTCATTTAATTATACAAAGAAGTTGACCTTTCACACCAACAGTTCAGGTTTTGGAATTATCTCATTTATTATCTCATTTATTATATTAGAGCAGATGAATAAAATGATTTAAGGAGTATCAGACTGTAATAACACTCAACATTCAGCCTCTTGATCTACAGCATGTCACAACTATAGAAGGTCTATTTTCCTCAATAAACTGCAGATAAAACAGTTACTTTATTAACTGATAATTAATTGACCCTGAATTCTTATTCTGCGTAGAACACCATTTACCTGAAGCAGTATAGGGTGACTGACTTTGTTTGCTCAGGAGGACGGAAAGGCTGAGGAGAACATGGCTCAGAAGAGAGCGGCGCTGCTGGAGAAAAGGATGAGGAGGGAGAAGGAGAGCCAGCAGAGGAAGATGCAGCAGGAGGCTGAGCTGGAGCAAAAGAAAGAGGAAGCTCGGTATGTTGACACATCTGGAGAGAAAGTCCGTACACATTCTCAGAACACACAAGTATGGAAACACACTGTTGTGTGCTCTTTAGCCTTGGAAGGGGAAAATGAATTTATTCAAGCAGATTACTATTAAATGAATGTCCTATATTAGAAATATTTTTTGACACTAATATTAGTGTAATACAAATACGTATCATTTTATATATCTGTATATTAATCTGCCGGTTATTTTGCAATCTATGCAGTCCCAAGATGACATCCTCAAATTGCTTGTTTTGTCCAACTAACAGTGAAAACCAGGAGATATTTGATTTAATGTCACGGAAGACAAAGAAAAGTAACACGTTTGAGAAGCTGCAACCAGAAAATTTTTTGTCATTTTACACTTGACATGAAATTACTCAGTGTTTATTTTATTTTATTTTTCCAGTGTATAACCGTATATAATTCATAAACTATAAACACATGCAGTATTTCTTATCACTGCTCTGACTCTGTTTCCATCCGTCTGGTCTGTCTGTTCAGACTGAAAGCAGAGGAGGAGCGTCTCAGGAAGGAGGAGGACAAGGCCAGGAGGGAGTTCATCAAACAGGAATACCTCAGGAGAAAGCAGCTGAAACTGATGGAGGACATGGACACCGTCATTAAACCTCGACCAGCCGGTGGCGCCAAGCAGAGGAGGGGCAGGCCAAAGTCCATCCACCGTGACAGCATGGACTCCCCCAAAACCCCTGTCAGAGCTGCCACAGGTAACCATGGGAATGACCTCCAGTCAGAGAGGTCAAGGTCATCCCATCTGTCGAATCTGTGTGTCTTGCTGCCACTCTGCTTTGTGCCACCTGAAAACATCTTATACAACCAGCTAGTCTTTTTTATTACATTCCTGATGTGTCAGTTTTTCTTGTTTTATGAATCTAATTAGGCCAGTTTAAGCTTTCAACTGGAAGAACTGTGACATTTGCATTGATATTTGCATTGATATATCATACATTAGATAAATTGATCCTAATCGATATTATATATAATAGGAAATAATAACAAGCAACAGTCTTTTTCTGTTGTATGGAATACAAAAGGTGCAAAATAATACAGTAGGGCTTCAAATTTAACACTGCGACAAACTCAAGGAGCAATGTAGCACTAACATGTTTTTTTCTTGTGTTCTTTTATGTAAATTTAATAATTCATTATATAATATGCATTTATACATATTTAACCATGTATTGTAAGTTGTGACCATATCAGTTTTGTGTGTGTGTTTTATCAATGTGAGAATTCATTGCTACATTGCTGTGTAAAGGGGTTGGCACAAAACACAGTGGCCATAACATAGTGGTCTCGTGATCATTCGTGGTGTCGGTGTAATCGTGTCGTGCTGTGCCACATCTCATTGTCTCACATCCAGGTTCACGCCAACGTGTCTTTTCAGTCTCCAGCTTGTCCCTTGCTTCCCTCAACCTGGGAGACAGCGACAGCGTTCAATCTGAGAAGAGAACACCAAGGTGAGATGTTTTTAATATACTAAGTCTCTGAGTGCTGGTGGAACACTGGTGTCAAATGCAATAAACCAAACGCAATAAGAAACTTTTTAATCCAAACTCAAAGTTTGATGATTCTTGGGTTTTATTCACTTTTGGATACACAACCCTGATTCATTCAGGAATACAGCGGTGGGATATGTTTAGTTAAAAGTATGAAAATAAGAAAAGCTCAGCTGATTGGGTGGTGCCATCAATTAGACTGGACATATAATGTTGTTAAACTTCATGTGAAACCTGAGAGTATCTGACGAACTTTGATCTTGGAGTGATTTTTAACATAAGTCTTTAACAGTTTATTCTTCATGTGCAGTAATGGTGACATTTACTGACCTCTCCAGACTAACTCCAGTCCTCAGGTCTAACATTTCTCCTGTATTCTTCCTATGTTCCTTTCTTACTACTTTCTTTCCTGCTCTTTCACACATGTCAGAAGTGCTAGTTTAGCCTCTGGCAGTCTCCTCCACTTTCTGAGCTCTCCTAAACTGAGAAGGAGAAGGTTAGTTTCTGCCCCTCAGTTTAACATTAAGATGCTTCACGCTGTCCTGAGCACAATCCTATGCTGAAACCCTGTCCCCTCACTGGGTTTTATTAAGGATTGAATAGCACTTATAATAAAAGCAACATCTCTCTTTTATGACTGACTTCAAAGCACTGGTCTAATGCTATGCTTTTACCAGCATTGCCATCACAAAACATTAACTTCTCTTTTTCCACTTCACCACCCTTCTGCTGTGCCTCCCACACCAATTTACACTCCTCCACTTCTTTCTTTCAAAGTAAATTGTTTAACTTTGTTAAGAGCCACTACATCACCAGTCCTGTAGAATACACCCTGCATAAAACACCCATCTTATCAAGTCATTCAACAATATATTTTGTCTTAAAATCACCCAGTAGGTATTGAAGATAGTTACTTCTCTCAAACTGTTCTGGAAACATATCAAGATATATTGAATCCAAATTTGACTTGTATATCCTATTGGAAGATTTTGCCTTTTTGAGAAACTAAAGAAAACTAAATGACTTGTTAATGTGGGCAGCTTATGTTCCCAAAAAAGCACCACAAACACTTGTGAGCAAGGGTTGGCTTTAGTTGCTCTTACTGTACAATTGCCCTGCTCATGGACTTTTACATAATTACATATAATTAGAGCAGTGTATTTTGAATGAATTATAATCCCAGTGGAATAGTGGTCGTCACTCTGTATATTGGTAAATCACTTGTTGCCAGTGTACAGAGGGGACACACCATGCAGTTGCCGTCCACAAAAGCAGAGCAAGTAAACGCCAAGTGCTGCACTGTAATTGATTGACCTCTTTTACTGACCTTCAATGCACCAGACTGCTTCACATCACTGCACTCACTGCCTGTGCTTGCAAGCTTTGCTGCTTTAGTAGTTACTGTAAGGCTCTACAACTAAACCAAGCCCAAACTCAAACTGTGTGCTTAAATAGTACGCATAGTTTCCGCCACAGCAAAGGATAAATCTATGCAAATATGATGTAGACAGGGTGGGGAAATGACACCAGTCAACAGTCAAATTCCACTGGTTTACAATGGCTGGGTTGAATCATGTTTGGAGATGGCTCTGTATTTAAAAAAACATCTAGTTGGCTTATGAATAGCACAGTTTTTTCCTGCCCTGCCTACAGTATAATTTGCTGAGTGTTCAGGAGCAGCACCCATGCAGAAAGGTGAACTAATTGTGTGTGTGTGTGTGTGTGTGTGTGTGCGTGCGTGTGCGTGTGTGTGTGTGTGTGTGTGTGTGTTCTAGGCCTGACTCTGCAGATGGCTTCCTGTCCCCGAGTCGCTCCAGCAGCAGGAATGGAGAGAAGGACTGGGAAAATGGATCCACAACCTCCTCTGTGACATCCAACACAGAGTACACTGGTAGGTCATTTAACACATTAACACATTTCCTCCACAGAATATCTTTTATATGCAAATTTTAAAATCAAATAATCAAATATTTATAACATAAGGAATGCTAAATGCCAACATTATAGCTAATGTTTTGGAATAACATGATAGAGTTTAGGGTTTAATTTAATTCTTCTTGGGTCATTTTTATCGTTAGCTTAGTTTTTATTCTAATACTGAAGGCCTTTTTTTTTAAAAATGTCTACTACTTCATATCCACAGTATTCTTGGCATGGTTTCCTCTCCGTGTAATCCAGAATTTTCTGTTGTGTGAACAATTCTTTGTGCTGTGAATGCTGCATTCGTAGCTCATATTCCTATGTCACACTGACCGATAACACTGAAAAATGCTGCCAGTTAAAATCCTCATACATGATTTATCAAAAGAAAGAGCAAAACGAGGGAGGGATTTCCTTTGAAATAAGTGGAATGGTTGCCATGACAACAGCCTCATCCTGACATTCTCTCCCCTGTTCTCATTCAGGACCGAAGCTCTACAAAGAACCCAGTGCCAAGTCTAACAAGCACATCATCCAGAATGCTCTGGCCCACTGCTGCCTCGCAGGCAAGGTCAATGAGGGGCAAAAGAACAAGATCCTGGAGGTAACAGCATGGAGCTTTTAACATATTGTTTTATATACTGTAGAGGTCAAGTTGTCCTGGTGGCTTTATTGATAATTCACACCACGTGCCCTCAACACTTTGAGGTTTAAAATCTCTTTTTCCTGTCTGGTTTTACTGGCATGAAACAAATGCACATGAGTGTGACAAATGTTCTACTGTAAATTGCAATTATTCAAATAATGGTGGAGTTGTTCTATAATAAAAGAGTGACTAGAATTAATTTGTGAATGAAAACAGTATTTAGGTTCAAAGGAAAAACACAGCAGAGTGGTGAGTAATGATAGGACCTTGTTGTACTGATGGAATTAGTGATGTGGAAATGTACATTATATTTAATTTGTCAATACAGGCAAACATGGAGGAAGACTGACTTTGCATTAAACTGGGAACAGGAGAAATTAGAAATAAAGCCTGGTCAAAATAAAAGATCTTGTTCATTCACTGTTTGAGAATTTACAGTAAGAGGGTTTCATAGTGATTTACAAAGGTCCACCAAGGAAACCTCACATACAAAAAAAAAATTGTTAAGTCACATGGATGTCCATTCAGAGACTTTATTTTCTATCTTTTTTTTGTCCCTTTAGTATACATGGCCTCCATACTGTATCTAATGAGCTTCTCTCCCCTGACCTTAACAGGAAATGGAGAAATCAGAAGCCAACAACTTCTTAGTGTTGTTCCGTGATGCCGGCTGCCAGTTCCGCTCCCTCTACACTTACTGCCCCGAGACGGAAGAGATCAACAAGCTGACAGGTATTGGCCCCAAGAGCATCACACGCAAGATGATCGATGGCCTGTACAAGTACAACTCGGACAAGAAGCAATTTAGTCAGATACCAGCCAAGACCATGTCGGCCAGTGTGGACGCGGTGACGATCCACAACCACCTCTGGCAAACCAAGAAGCCAGCCACCCCTAAAAAAGTAGTGCCTGCCCTGTCCTAATGGAACTTGTTACCCCAAACATCACCATTTCCCCCTCGAATGGAACATACCCATTTCAATTTGCACTTCATTGTACATATCCATAAAGATTCAAACACCTGCAATGCCAATTAGATGAATGCATATATGTTTTTTTCATGTTTGTTTTTCCTCTCATTGCATTCCTGTCCTTCTTTTTTCTCCTTACTCTGGACCGGACATGATAGGACTCAAAGATTAGGAGCAACTGGAATGTATGCCACTGTTGAAGAATGATGTAAATGCTTATCACTTCTGTGTTTCTAGAGACTGTCACGTTTAAGTCAGTTCACGAAGGCATGTATGAGTGTTCTTCTTGTTTCCTATGTGCCAAACGTCAAAAAAAAGAGACAGTATGAATGCTAGGACATTTTACTCGGTACAGTGAAGCACTGAATGTTTTTAATTCATGTACAGATTGATTTTTGTTTGCATTATCCTGTTGATGTGTGGCCTTATGCTTGTTTTGTTTTAGCGTGTGCGAGTGCAATGAGATGGTTGTAAAGCAGCGTATATACTGAGGCTCTTTTTGTATTTGGAGGAACACGTTTTTTCTTCATCTCCGTGGGTAAAACAGTTTGTATATTAAGGTACGTAAAAACTACAGAGGGCCAAAAAACTAATTGCATACAGCTAGGATTAGCCACATGGTACACGTGTGTTCAGCTCAACAAAGCCAAGCGGTTTCAGCTTTTTCAGAACTCTTTTTGAGAAGGTGATTTTAAAGAATGCAGGACGTTACTCTAGGTCACTGGTTCTCAACCTCTGGGTCTGGACACCTTCAGAAGATTTGAGCTATAATATACAATGTGTGAAAAACATATTTCTGATATACAAATATGCTATCATGTTATTGTGATACATTTCTTTTTTCTCGTAAGTAGTTGAAACTTTAAAACCTAAACCAATAATTAAGTAAAACTAACCCTTGTTGCATCAGAGTTGACCTGGTGGTTTGTTGGCACTCACAGCGGGGCTTTACATGGAGGCATTGCTTCAGACAAAAAGGTTGAGAACCAGTGTTGTAGATCACTTTGCTGCTGGTTCACAGCAGGTTTGTGAACAAATAAAAACACCTCAGTATTATTTCTTCCGTATTTTGAAATGCTGCCCACTGCACCATGTAGAAACTTTGCAGTATATTAAGATAATGCACAATCACACACTCAGCCACTGGTATCAGGAACATGACTAAAATCCAAGACATAATGACACCTAAGACGCATTTCTCTTTATATCTATATCAGGATTCAAAATGAAATTGTTGTGCTAGTACTCTCTTGACAGTATTCAATTCAAGATTACACACTACTCATCTTAATAATGTCTGCACTCATAAAGCTTTAAGGCACTTCAGGTCCATCAAGCACCAAAATGTAGTTGACATAGTGCACACACAAAGTCTAGATTTCTGATTAGTTAAAAATCAGTTGCTCTGTTATTAAAGAAGCCAGTCATGCATCAGTGAGTTACTGTCTGACTCATGAAAAATGGCCACACTGTTACAAAATGGCTGTTATTTTCAACACATCTGTGCATCAGTTGTTCTTTTGTCACACAAATGTGTGTTATCCCAAACTAAACATTATCTGAGTGTGTATTAGCAGCATCTGTCGCATATAAATGGAACACGTCCATCCAGGCCAGGTTAGATTTCTTTGTTTTTCCTATTATTGGGAGAATGAATCTCACAGAATAATGCATGGCAGAATGGGCAGATCCTTGTTGCTGCATACGGGTAAGAGACTCGCTACAGGGTTTCATTGGTGTCAGCAACATGTTCCTTTTGCCACAGAATGTCAAGTCAACACCATTCGAAGGTATGATTTCCAACAAATCAAATCTGCCAACATGGTGCTTTGCTTTCAACTGGGGGGGGGTATTTATGACCAAAAGAGAGCATATACATGTCTTTGAAAATGTAAAACAATATGACAAAGTGAAGAAGTTTCTTTGTTGTTTATTGAAAGGATTTGTCCACAGAAAGCTCTGTCCACCTGCTTTTGGCTGTTTAAGGCCAAGGGAAAAGATTATTTAAAGTGTAATGATATTGTACAGTGTGTTCATGTGCGCTCATACCTATTACTATGATGACCTTGTTTTGTTTGTCAGACACTGTGCTGTCATTCAACATATTGCTGAACATGTAGTTTAATTTTTGTTTTTGTTTTTTTCCTTTTCGCATTTAATAAACTTAAGCATGGCCTCAGCATTTATATGGTATTAACTGTAAAACAAAATGTCTACTTTAAAAGGAGGGAAAGTGATAGATAGATAGATTGATAGGTTGATAGGTAGGTAGATAGATAGATAGATAGATAGATAGATAGATAGATAGATAGATAGATAGATAGATACTTTAGTAAGCAGGGTTGATATGAATTTATGGTTTTATTTTGTATTGATTTATAGAAAATTATGAAGGAGGTGTTTTACAGAGGACACTTCATATCAAAGCTTTTGTGTGAGGCAACATAATCGAACAATTCAAGGTGTGTAACCTCAATCTTATCCTTACTGATCTAGAGAAAATTTTAAGACATCAAGGCTACTAATAACCCTATTGTTTACAAGCTTGAAATGCATAACTGTGTATTATCTACATACAAATTGAAAAATACTTCTATCCTGAGAAAAGAGTGGGACCCAAAACTGAGGATTGGGATACCACACAGCTGAGTTTAGTAGAGGTAAATTCGTCTGAATATTATTTGTGTGAACAAATTGACAATCAGTGAGTAAATGTGTAATCTATCAATATAAAACGAGTTCCACAAATACAAGAAATAGATTTGTAAAATGTAGATTTGCAAATATAACATGGATCTGCAAATACACAAACAAATTCCATGAATAAAAACATATCTGTGAATACATTGAATATATTTAGAAATAAATTAAAAGCATTTGTGAATATCTTCCAAACATTTATAGCTTTCAAAGACATTTGTGAATCAATTTTCTATTTGTGAAGCGAAAAAGCATTTGTGGATCTCAGGTCTACGCTTGTAGATTTGCATTTTAGTTTTGAGACAAACTTTCGGTCAGTCTGCATGAAAATCGACTTGTGTCAGTCGGCTACTTTCGGAAAACACGTGCTCGCATGCTGACGACGCCATTTCTGCTCTTCAGAATAAGAGCACGCAGTCTTCTACGAGCTGTTTTATTTCCCCAAATAATCAGCGAAAAGTAACGTACACTACGTTAACGGTGTGAAATGACATGGTTATGGTTAAGACCTGGTCTTTGATAGTATGGCTGTTGGTGTTTACATTTGTTTTGTTAAGAATGACGTATTACAATGTTAATTTTCGTTGTTAATATGTAGGCTAAGCTAACGTTAACTACTAAATCGGCACCTGTTGCCATGGCGACAGTAAACATTCATGTTGCAGAATGAGGGAACGAAAACACTGTGTTGCTGATGAAGATGCATTTCATACCCATCCAACCTGTAAAGAGATAACTGGTGTAATTTCTTTATTGTAATCATTCAGTCCATTTGCTGTTGACAGCACAATTGGTATTTTCTACATGTAGGCTATAATCCTGTACAGTCACTGGAACAGCCAATAAATCTCTCTCTTCTAGGTGGTAATAGTAAGGAATGTCATAATGCACAATCTATACTAAATAAGTGAAAGGTTACAATGTTCATTTATTTATCATTTGACACAGGGTTGCATAACAAGATGAGACTCCACCATAAAAAAATGTTTTATTTATATGACATCTTATGTATTCAGTCATTTACTGTATATTATTTTTGTTTTGGTGAGTAGCATAATGGGAGCGACAACTAGCACTTCTTCATATACAACGTTATAGTAAATATACGAGTAAATATGGCATGAATAAATAAAGATAATAAACATACATAATAACACTGTTAATGTTGAGACTTTAGACTCAGTGTCATGTTTTAGAAAAGATGTTTACTCAGAATGAATGAATGAAAAATCCCTATACTTTCATTCAATTTGTGAAATACAAAGGTTTGTATTTGCCTATTTTACATTCAGGCCAGTAGATGTCCCAAGCATGAAACATCAAGAAATGAACATTTTCACAAAGAATGCTGTCAGACTTACCTCCAGTACCAGGCAGTTGATTTCTTCAAGCTAACAGGATATAAACGCCTGGGACTGTACACGAAGTCATGTTTCAGTTCACGATGGTGGTGTTTAGCGTCCGTGTAAAGCAGAAATGGCGCGCCAGTCTGTAGAAGCAGCCAGTTAAGCTCTAGTTAGGTTTCTCCCTGCATGCCTCATTTCCTGTTCACCTTACTTCCGATGTTGTCACAGGTATGAAAAGTTTATGTGTTTGTTTGTTCCCCAGTTTACTTTTCTTATGCTGCTGTTATTCATGTCATCCTGGAAAATACTCGGCCGGGCCTTAGCCGAGAAATTCGACTGAAGTGCGGTCCGACTGGCTGCCGGAGTCCAACAACCCACTACCAGGCTTAGGTACACCACACGTGTCGGACTCGGCCCATTACCAGTTCTGACATCCAGGATGGCTTGTATTCATTTCCTGCCGTTTTCCCCATGCCAGTCCTTCCCTTGGATGCGGGATAGAAACTGATTACATGACTGCTCTTTTATTAAATTACACATTTACACAACATGAGTACTCACACTCTCATGGACACATTTCTGCCACCGCTGATTTTAATTACAAATCCAGTTACTAATTTTTGTAGTAAAGTGAACGGATGCACTATTTTACACGGTTGCTTTTTTAATAAAACAATTTAGAAAATGATTTAGTCACGGTACCCACCACTATAGTTACAACCTACCTACCTTTTTAATTTCCCTCTACATCATTTGAAAGTTTATCTTTGCCATGCAGTGGGTGTGACAACCACAGGGCGTCATCGCTGCAGTTGATTGGTGGTTTTGCGGCTTGCGTCCGCATGGCAACGGCGAGCTGTGTACAAGAATTAAGGCAGAAAGGAGCTTTCTTGAGAAGGATTTCAACATCCAAACAACAGTTTCTGTCTTTTTCTCCGTCGATACTGTTAGATTTGGAGACTGCAGACGGCGCGGAGTGGCTTTAATGCGGCGTGTTGTTTGCGCAGACTGACAGGTGAGGAGTAGACACGGATTCACGGTGGCGTGTTAGCCCGGAGTGTAGTCTTGCATGATGTCCTGTACATTTAGAGGGAAAATGAATGACATTGCTGAATGCTGTTGTCCTGCATGTGTGTTTAACATTGAGCGGCTGTGTGTGTGTCTGTGAGAGTGTGCGCTATGTGCTGTCATGTTCAAGTAAACAAGGTGTGTCTGAGCGCAGCAGAAGTGCTGAGGCTGTCAGGTTTGGGCCGCAGACCTGCTGTCACATCCAGAGCTGGATGTTGTGTCTGTGTGCGGCGACTAACAGGGCGGTGTCACCGGCTGCTCTGCCTCCAGCACGGACACCTGGAGGCATCACTGCTCGTCTCAGCCTTTTTACATAGACACAGCGAGTGATTCATGCATAATGGAGAGCCCTTCATGGCTTACTGTAGCTGCCTATATGATGTCCCAGTGTTTAACCATTAATCGGCCGACTCTTAAGGACTGCATCCTTAAATATTTGTCGAGTATCATACCAAAACTGTTCACTATATTGGAGTATTATGGCGAGATTAAACAAAACACCAAGTGCAATAATGCTATATGGATCCTACTGCACCCTATAGAACAATTAAATCTAGTAAGGACACTTTAAATTTAATATCAAACTCACAAACACACTTGAAGTCATTACAGGAGTATTATAGAAATACTATAATTTGGTGATGCAAAGTACCGAGGAGTACCGTTAACTCACTTAAACCTCACTGTTGGAACATGCAGACATAAGCTGCTGTAGAAATGTAGTCAATCACGTCAATGTTGTTATTGAGCAGAAGAGTAGAAACACTAGAAGTCCCTGTAGGAATATTACAGTAATTGATCCACAGTGTGGTCCTCAGTGTATAAGCCAGTGGGCATTGGTGTTGAAATAAAAGTCAGCATGAGTATCCGTCAATGTTCATGTCGTTAGCATTGATCTGAAACTGTTAAACTGCATGGGTACTCACACCACTGGTTTCACACATCTGCACCCACATAATGAAAGGTCATGCTGTATATTAAGTGCTGTATGTTTTTACATTTTAACAGTATTTGTCAGCAGAACATCTCAAATAACAGATTGACAGATTGCATGTTAATAATGATCTGTGGTTTATGCAATTTGACAACAAATCAACTTTGTCTTTATTTTTGGCTGTAACATCAATTTAACGAATGTAGACAGCATTGTCCCTAAATAGTGGAAATGTACAGTAATTTTAGAATGAAAGTCTTTGAACTGAGGTTATGAACCATAAAAATAAGAAATCTTTTTTTTTTTTTTGATGCGACTTGCCATCAACGTGACTTTCTACGACTCTCTCTCTCTATAAGCTGCCATCACAGATTTGTAATCATGACGGCAGAGGAGACAATCAACATCAAGGAGGCAGAGGTGATCAAGCTGATCCTGGATTTCCTCAACTCCAGGAAGCTGCACATTAGCATGCTGGCCTTAGAGAAGGAGAGCGGTGTCATTAATGGACTGTACTCTGACGACATGCTCTTCCTCAGGTATGACAGTACAACAGACTCATGTGACACTCAGGAGAAGATCAGAGTTGGCTGAAAGGATTGATTAGACTTTACATTTGTAGGGGGCATAGCTGAGTTTTAGTCAGGATGTGGATTTATACTCATCTCAATATCCCAAGTTGCACTTTTCCACCATTTTGTTTTATTGTGTTGCATAAATTCGTATTTTCATGGTTGACTGCGGCATTTTGACTCACAAAATAGTATCACTGAGATGGGAAAAGGGATTGCAGATGATTTCTTAACTGTCCGTGGGCTGCTTTCAACAGGCAACTGATTCTGGACGGCCAATGGGAGGAGGTGATGCAGTTCATTCAACCCCTGGAAGGAATGGACAAGTTTGACAAGAAAAGGTGAGAGACATAATGTGGGGGATTATTCTAACCTGATTTCTAAAAAGTTTTTTTTCTATGTAATGACTTTACATCAATCTTTTACTGACAATAGCTGTCACAAGTGTGACAGAGTTTAGGGAGTGGCAGTAATTTAAGTATGTTTTTGATTTATTGTTGAGTTGTTATGAGGAGAGCAGGAGACCTAACTGAAACTCAGCTTTTTGAGTTAGAATTGTCAGATTCCTGCTGCTGAAATTATTAATTTCAGTACAATCACACTGCTTGTTTGCATGTGTTTCCAATACAGTATTAAGTACAGTATTGATGACATTTTCCTTCACTGGTGAGTGGGTAAGAGTTGCCAGTGAAGTGGAGACTGGTAGCCTCAGGAACTAAATTAGGTCAACTCCCAGTACTGTACTGGCACGATTCCATCATATCACTGGTAGCCTCTCTTTCTCAGCAACCACCAAAGAGATTTTTAAACTCAGTTGTCCTACCTAATGAAATAACAAGTTTATCAAAACAAACAATTTAATCCAAGAAATGTCACCAGAAGGTTAATCAATTCATTTACTACAAAATATATTTCTTAATACTGAGATTTATGTTTATGTTTATTTATGTTTCCAGGTTCCGCTACATCATTCTGAAGCAGAAGTTTTTGGAAGCTCTGTGTGTAAATAACGCCATGTCTGCAGCTGAAGATCCTCAAAATGTATGTATATATTCAGTTTGCTCAGTGGTCAGCAATAAGCCTCTGATTGAACTGGATATGAATAAACTGTATATGAATAATTGGAAAACAGTGCTGATGACCTTAAACTTGAATGATCCCAGAGAGAAATTGGTCTTCCTACTGAGAGATACATAGAAGTCATCCATACAACATCTCGCTTGAAGACATACTGTTTAAAGGACAGTATTTCTAACCTCTCTGACAAATTGGTCGAGTGTTTTATAATGTTAGCTTCTATAGTCTTCCAGTTTTCCACAGTTTTAAAAGTTGCCATATTTACTACAAAATGACTTGTATGAAAAACCATGTTACCATCAGACATCTACTTTTTGCAGAGTAAAAAAAGCTTCTGAAACCATAACACTATCATGGAGCATGTACACTCTCCACTTAAATTCAGTTAAATATAACAATACCAGTGGGATTCTACAAAAACAGACCTCACACTCTGAAAAAGCATAATCACAGTCACGTACTGACACATCCTCTGTAATGTTTTTTTTCCATCTACAGCTGGAGCTCACCATGCAAGAGGCCGTCAAGTGCCTCCACAGTTTGGAGGAGTTCTGTCCGACCAAGGAGGACTACAGCAAGCTGTGTCTCCTCCTCACCCTCCCTCGCCTCACCCACCATGCAGAGTTCAAAGACTGGAATCCAAGCACGGCACGTGTCCATTGCTTCGAGGAGGCTTGTGCTATGGTGGCTGAGTTCATCCCTGCGGACAGGAAGCTGAGTGAGGCAGGCTTCAGGGCGAGCGGGAACCGCCTCTTTCAACTGCTCATTAAAGGGATTCTTTATGAGTGCTGTGTGGAGTTCTGTCAGGTAATATCACCCCCAAACATTGAAAGTGTTACAAGGAAACCCTTGTCAGTGTTGATGTTGCAATAAAAATTTAATGGACCTAATCGTTTCTCTCAAAACCTGTAGAGATATAATGGAAGGGTAACCTTACAGTAACATTTCCTGCTACAAATCCTCATTTGGTTTTAAGTGCCAACATCTAATATAAAGTCAAATTCCTATGAGATCTCATTCGAATCGTAGAAAGTTACAGGACAAGTTTTAAAATTTGTGATTGCAATCTTGCATTCACTTCAAATTCACAATTTCAGCCTTGGTCCCTGGTTTTAACAACACTGTGTCTGTTTTCTAGAGCAAAGCAACTGGGGAGGAAATCACAGAGGGTGAGGTGTTGCTTGGCGTGGACTTGCTCTGCGGGAACGGCTGTGATGAACTGGATTTGTCATTGCTATCCTGGCTGCAGAACCTCTCTCCAGGTGCCTTCTCATGCGCCTTCCAGCAAAAGGTCCTCAACATCCACGTGGACCGGCTGGTGAAGCCCAGCAAGGCGGGCCATGCGGACCTCCTGACTCCATTAATGAACCGTCTGTCTCCCTGCCCTACCTCGCCCTTCCACCAGAGGCCTCATTCAGCCGACACCTACATGTCCAGATCTCTCAATCCGGCTCTGGACGGCCTGTCCCACGGTCTGGCAGCGCAGGACAAGAGAGGCATGGAGGCGAACTCGAAGTCTGCTCTCAGTCGGAGTCTTGTTGAGAATAATGTGCATCAGCAGGATGATTCACCTGAGAGGTAAGCTGGAGCCAGCCTGGGACAAATGGTTTGTGGTGTTAATTAGAAGTGCTTGGAGTAATGGATGGGTGGAGTTTAACTCAACATTTGTCTGCAGTGACAATAGCTTTATTTTTTTCTCTCCAAAAGCTTTTTTACTGAGCTGTCTTCCTTAGCTTGTGCATTTGCAGCCTTAGGCCTTAAACCCAGTGGTACATCTTGTTGTATGGCACAATGTGTAGCTCTATTAATCCCATTAGCCCTACTACGGTCATCTCCCACAGTGCTGCACAGAGCAGCTGAGTGTTGATGGATGCAATATAATCTAAAGCCTTCACTTGATGACTTATAATTTAAAATCTTAGAAAGAACCTCCTGTTCTTTCTAAGTACTATTGTTTTTGCAAATAATAAGGCCGGCTGGTGTAGATATCCGTTAGCTCAGTCTCTGAGTATTTAATTTTAAGGAGCTAGACCTGAAATGTTAATACAGATATTCCTCATTCATATTTTAGACTCAAACTAAAAGAGTTTTTCCATTGTGATGTTGTTCTCTTTGGCTCCACCTGCAGGATTGAATTGATGTGCACAACTGGTACAAAGTGAGATCACTACGATCTGTGATCAGTTTGTTATGCCACAATTACAATGAAGTTATTCTTTAAGTTAAAACACATCTAAACATATTTTCCATGTCTAGTTGTATACAAGTGCAGTGACTGACATTTTATCTTGTTTTTGTTGTTTCCTTTCACATTTAACACTTGGTAGCCCACATTTCTACTGTTTCTTTCCTTTTACTACATACAGTATAATCCTTGACTTTTTTTTTTTTTGGCTTGATTTGTATTATTTTACTTTCTACTTCACCTCCAATCAGTTTGATTAAAAGAATTGCTTGTGAACTGACATAGGAAGCACCCACAGAGGCTGGATGGTCCAAACACCACACGAACACCTCTGACCCCTGGAAAAGATGGTGAGCCACCCTGCAGCACAGAAACAAATGAGGTAATAAAAACTTCAGACTATTAGCAGTGCCTTGTTGTATTTGTAGTGATGGTACACGCATTATAGACCTTACATAGACCATAAATCAATGATAACCACAAAGACATTTCATATATGGAGGAGTAGATTGTCTCACCTTTGGTTGCTCAGGCTGAATTGGTTTCATGACTTGTGAAGATTGTAAAAAGAAATAGCTGGGGTTGTCTGTCTGGTCACTCACTCTGTCATTAATCCAGATTCAAGATATTTAGAATAGATTCCCCCTGAACCCATGGGCCCCCTTGCCTCCATACCCCGCTCTTCCTCATAAATCCTTCCCCAATTCTCTAGCACACCTGTCCAAGGGACACTCACACCCTGCTGACCCTGTCTCAGTGAAGGGGCTGGAGGTCATGGACACTGAAGGCAGATAATCTGCTTTGATGTGCGGTCACACTCGAGATGGCCCGCAGCTTCCATCATCGCTCATCTTTATGCATCCCAGGTCCCATCTAGAGGAGCAAAGTAGCTTGAGATTGGATTTTTTTGTGTGTGTGTGTGTGTGTGTGTGTGTGTGTGTGTGTGTGTGTGTGTGCGTATGTGTGTGCGTATGTGTGTGCGTATGTGTGTGCGTATGTGTGTGCGCATGTGAGTGAGAGAGAGAATATACTGTAGACCCTTTGGATATGATGAGGTCCTTGAAAAGTTTTTATGGGATGGATGATGGAGGACGAGGCCCTGGGAGCTTAAAAGTTGTCAGTACTAGCTGTTAGTAGAGAGTTTGTGTGTGTGTGTGTGTGTGTGTGTGTGTGTGTGTGTGTGTGTAACCCATTCAGTTAAGATAAATCCTGTCAGAATATCGCTCTACATAATATTGTTTTACAGCTTCTGCTACAACAAGCCTTACAGTGTGTTCATTTTTTCCATGCTGGCTCACTGTGGGCATGCGTGTGTGTGTGTGTGTGTGTGTGTTTGTCTAGCGTTGTGACTCCACCGAGCACATACAGGAATTTTACAGGCAGCGTCTCCGTGTGCAGCAACATCTGGAACAGAAGCAGCAGCAGAGGCAACTTTACCAGCAGATGCTGCTGGAGGGAGGCGTGAAGCCGCAGGACGGAGCCCAACATAACCTCACTGAGACCTTCCTCAGCAGGTGAGGAAGTCATTACAAGATTCAACATCGGTGGCTTGGTGAATGTAACGCGACCTGAGAGCCTCAAGAGATATCATCTCTGTCTAGATCCATTCAGAAGTTGGAAGAGATGAATGTGGGTATTGACCACAGAGGAGATGAGGCGATCACACATCTGGGCCAGCAGTGGAACGGACTGACAGGGAACAACAGCACATCTAGTCCCAGGACTACCAACACCCGCCACACTCCAGATACAGGGGTGGTGAGGGACAAGCCAAGTGGTGTGAGCAGCAGCACCCCATTAAAGACTGGGGGCCACGGCTTACCTTCCCTCTGTGAGTCTCCAGTTCCTGCCAGTCAAAGGTAAGAGCCTGTCAAAATGTCTGGTTATCAGCCACTACAGAAACACCAACATCATAAGATTAGTCCCATATTGTTACGCAAAAATGAACTCATTTATGTTGATCGAGTATGTAACATTTGCTTCTTGTGTTGCCCTGCAGCTCTTTATATTAAGGTTTCACTAATGATGAAATATAATTTGCATTTGACTCTGATCCCTCTGTGGTAGAGACCCATGAGAAATGCCATGTGTTATATTGTCAGATTTTTTTTTTTTTTTGCAAAAGAAGATAATGGTAAACAATGAATCTATGCATCTCTTTATGTGAATGCCAGTGCTGAGAGGATCAGAGCATCTTGTCCCACGGTGCAAGATGATTCAGGCTGCTCTGCAACACGCAGCACACAAGAGGTAAACCAAACTGCATAGTACAGACCTCAGTCAGTCTCCTTTTTACTTAAACGGTTCTATTTTGCTTGCTTTTCCACTTTATCTGTCTTAGTGTAGTAAGTCCCTAAACATGGTTAAAAATACATTCTAAAATGTCTTTACAGAGATGGCAAGAATGTAATGTAAAGTTTAGGTAAAAATCTGTGATGGCATATCATAGATTATATTTCTAAGGATCATTTTTTTCTGATCTTATACAGCCAGGAAAGTCCAAAACCCAGTTTATTAAAGTCAACCAGCTTGAGGACACGCAGGCAGTACGTGCAGTGGCCTTCCACCCCTCAGGAGCACTCTATGCTGTTGGCTCCAACTCAAAAACCCTGAGAGTCTGTGCCTACCCAGAAAGCCTGTCCACCAGGTAGGAGCTATTCACATCTCTATACGATTTCAAACCATGGCACGTTCTTACAACATGATAAATGATGTACTTCCATACTTTATATGTTGTCATGCTGCAGAATGAATTTGGGACCAATCAGATGCATGCCTGAATCTTAACATCTAAAGTGGCTAAAATCTTTGCACAGTAAAGATGGATGTTTCTGACACAATTAAGAATCATTGCTGAATAAATTGTCTGAGCTTGACCAGACGGAAGAGTTTTTGACCAAAGAATGCTGACTGCTGAGAAAACCAGTGTTAAGTCAAAGTATGAGAATACTGGTTGCAGTTAACTCCACTCCATGCCTTCCTGCACACTTGTGAATCCGTCTCTGTTTTATTTTCTCTGCTCGTTCAGTGGTTCTGGTGCAGTTAAGCAGCCGGTTGTGCGCTTCAGGAGGAACAAGCACCATAAGGGCTCAATCTACTGTGTAGCCTGGAGCCACTGTGGACAACTGCTGGCCACCGGCTCCAATGATAAATATGTCAAAGTCCTGCCTTTCAATGCAGACAGCTGCAATGCCACAGGTACCATGTTATGTGTTTTAGTTGTGCTTCTGAAAACACAGAACAAGCAAATACAAGTTGAAGCAGAATAATATAGGGAAGACCTAATGGATCTAACTTTGGATCTAATTTCTTTGCGTCTCTGTGATTCAGGCCCAGACCTGGAGTTCAGCATGCATGATGGCACCATCAGGGACTTGGCCTTCTTGGAGGGCCCTGAGAGTGGAGGATCCATCTTGATCAGTGCCGGAGCTGGAGACTGCAACATCTACACTACTGATTGTCAGAGAGGACAGGGCCTTCATGCTCTGAGTGGACACACTGGTACGTTAAAGAATTTATCCTGAGGGAACACTGGGGGTTTACCAGTTTACAGATATGGTACATCTCATACATAGACATTATTTTCTTTCAAAATTGTTTCCTCATGAGAAACAAATTAACTCTTAGGAACAGTACCATGAAATAGTTGCATTATAACTACTAAACAGGACTTCTAAACACAACAACTCTGTACAAAAAGGTAAGGATGTATCATGTGTTTAAGACTTGACCATTTTGTTTGAACAGGTCACATCCTGACTTTGTTCACATGGGGAGGGTGGATGATCGCCTCTGGCTCGCAGGACAAAACAGTCCGTTTCTGGGACCTGCGGGTGCCCAGCTGTGTCCGTGTGGTAGGCACGACACTGCATGGCTCAGGTGAGTCACATCATGACTAACATTAGAGCAAATCACATGTACCACACTGGCACAGGTTGATAGGGTATCACAGTTAACCCACAATGTTACAATACACCAGTGGCCTTCTAGGCCTTCAGAGAAGGCCAGAAATATCAACATTTTAAATGTTGTATTTAATCTCTATCATTTAATTATTATTATTATTATTTTATAATTATTATCTTCATGAGGATGTGTGAACTTCCTGTTACTTAACATGTTTTCAATTATTAGACACCTCAGATCAGTCTTAGCCAGAGTTTAAGTTATTGTCCGTACACTAAATAAAACACAAATTAGAACATGTAAACATCCAAAGTTTATATTTGCACCCCGAAACTGGATCCTTGTTTGCATGAAAATCTAGCTGTGGCTCTTCAGTGAGATAAACCAGTCTGTGCTTCTTTTAGTTATTTATTACCACTCTGTCTCACACAGGAAGTGCAGTTGCTTCAGTGGCAGTGGATCCCAGCGGCCGCCTGCTGGCCACCGGCCAGGAGGACAGTACCTGTATGTTGTACGACATCAGAGGAGGCCGCATAGTCCAGTCATACCGCCCCCACAGCAGTGACATTCGCTCAGTGCGCTTCTCACCAGGAGCCCATCATCTTCTGACTGGTTCATATGACAACAAGATCATCATCAGTGACCTACAAGGTAGCAGCACCTTCATGGAGAGAGAGAGAGAGAGAGAGAGAGAGAGAGAGAGAGAGAAACAAAAACACACATACTGTACACAATGGGTTAAAAAAAGATAATTTATTTGTATTTTTCTGACTAGAAAATTCAATTTGAAAAGGTTAAACTTACTTGATGCCGATCATTTCGTGATTGAAGAATTTCACCTTTTCCAAGCAGGTTTAGGTTCTATTTTCCGAGCCATGAGAAATGATGCTTTTCAAGTCCCACTTATTGTTGAAAGAACCATATACTTGCAGATATTTGATCATCTGGCCACTGTATTAAGGTGAAGACAGTGGTGACTGTGCTGTCAGTTTCTGGTGATTGCACTGTGTGATGTTTTTTTTTTTCCTTTTCTCTGACCCCAGGGGACCTTACAAAGCCCCTCCCTCAGACAGTGGCAGGGGAACACTGGGACAAGGTGATCCAGTGTAGGTGGCACCCCCATGACCAGACCTTCCTCTCCTCCTCTGCAGACCGAACTGTCGTCCTCTGGGCACCAGGCCCGTGAGAATCCAGATGAAAAACACTGGTTAAGCAACAGCAGCAGCAGCAGCAGCAAGCACAAGTGTCCACATACATCCCAGCATGGGATCCCTTACTGTTGCAGGGTGTATGTACCATATGTGTGTTTATGTGCATACATATGCATACATATTGTGAGTATCAAGATGGTTATATGTTGGTCAGTTTAAAGTTAACTGTGTGAACTGTTGTGTGTGTTTTGTGTGCATATGTGTGTGTGTATATAAATTGCGTGACTGATACTTTTTTCAGGCAGAAACTCCAGTCACTTTAAAAAATGACTGAAGTCTATACTTGGTTGTGAGTGTGTATGTGTGTATGAGTGAATACATCTGTATTGTGAGTATGTGGCAGTGTGGGTGCAAGCAAACATGGCATTCTTGGAGATAGGCATGTGTGTGTATTTGGTTTTGCAGTTTTAGTGTAATTAAAATTAAATTCAATGAAAATAAGAACGTTTTGCAAATGCCATGAGAAAACGAGGATATTTTAGTGTTGCTATTTGGAGTCCATGTGAGGTTAAATACTTCAATATTTACAGTGTGTTTTTGCTTAATACCTTTCTGCTTTTGGCTTTGTAAGTAGAGCATAAAGATTAAATGGCAAAGACGTACTTAGACTATAGAGATGACGCCTTGCATTGAAAGGCATGAGTGAGTTCAGGGCAAGCACACTTTCAAGTTAGTTTAGTTATTTTCTCAAAATGCCAAACTTCATATAAGTCAGCCATAGTCAGCGCTTGGAGGTCACTTTAGATGGGATGTAGTTTAGGGAGCAGTGAGTGACCTTGTGGACAGAGGCCACGTTTGGTTATGCATATCATAATGTGCCTTTTTGTAGAAGTTTTTGGATATGTGGATAAATTAAGAGATTTATTTATTTATTTATTTATTTATTTGCAGCTTTTTCTTATTTGTCCATACGCCTTGTCATGTATAGATTATTCTAATGGCACTGTAATGCAGAAAATGATCACCCACTGGGCAGTTGTGCACACCTGTATAGATTCCCAAAGTGATTTTTCCCCTACATCTCTTATTATTGAGAAAGTGAGAGTAATTCGGGCTTTACACAGATGTTGAGAATACAGTACGTTCAAGTTTGGAATTTCAGTGATGAACATTGTAATTTTTAAACGTGTAAAGTTTCAATTTCAATCTGAAAAGATAAATTGCAAAATAAGAAAAAAAGTACATGTTGGGAATATATTGCAACCAGACAGTCTCAGGATGACAACAGCTCAATGTCTCCTACACAATATGATCAAAGAAATGAGAGAAAATGTCGACAGGCTAAAGCTAAGACAATGGTAATGATGCACTTTAAAGACAGGAACGCTGCTAGACTGCACACAGAGTGAAATGACATATCTGGTCACATTTTTAACTTTTACAAATAAGGGTCTGATTTTATCCTCACTTTTTACTAGGCTTTTACTAAGCACCTACACAGAATAAGCACCTAATGCATGCAAGAGAGAGAAGGGGGTATGGGAGAGAAGGTATGTCATAGCTTACCATGTTATACATCATATTTTACATGATCTGTTGCTCACAGTGGCAAAAACGAGTGTCATTATCTACCTGTGTGGTTTTAAAAGAAAGTTTGTGCACACATGTAATGATGGAATTCCAAAGGGGTCAATGAAATTCAAACTCTTAAAATAAAAATATGGAATAGTGGCTCTCTAATACCACCTGTTGTTCTTGCTTTTGAATAAATAAAGGTATTTTTAAGTTACACTTTGGAGCCATCACACTGTTCTGTAATATGTTGAGTCGTGCGTGTGTGTGTGCGTGTGTTTGTGTTTTATATTTCCACACACGTGTCTCTAGGTGCACATAGGTAGGTAGAAGATGCACACAATGCAAGGTGCACAGTGCACAAATGCTTACTTTCTGCTTTAGGCAATTGCCTATGTTGCCAATGCATAGGGGGACTGCCAGTGCCTGTCCTGCACACTCCAATCGCTGGCGTGGCTAAACTGTGGGGGGTGGGACATGGTCGTGGACTTTGACAGAAAAGAATCTCATGATGCACCTACCATAGGTGCCAGATCTGATCAGCCACTTTTGATAAAACATGGAGAAAAAAATTAGCCAAATAAGAAGAAGTTATGCAGGGTGCAAAGAGATGACACAAGGGCATGAGTTTAGAGAGACCGAGAGGTGATGGAGGAGAGTTGGGGGGGTAAGCGCAGGGAAGAGAGCTAGAGGGGGGGGGTTTACCATCACTCACATGCTGCGCTCGATCATTCCCTCTTTTGTGAGGTGGACAATGAGAGCCAGGGGTTCAGGGCTTAAAAAGGATAGGCACACTGTTACAGCCAGCGACCCTGGAGAGACAGCAGCCAACCCAGAGGTATCAGGAAAAAAAAACTTGGAATTACACTGAATCTGTATTTACTGCACTGCCAGGAAGATAACTACGTGCTCTGAGGCTTTAAAAGGCAAATCAACAAACACCTGTTTTGGGAGACAACAAGAACGGCAAGAAAGGCAAAGAAGAGATGAAAGTGGAGATCTATCTATACTTCTCTTACAGGGGAAATGATCTGCACATCTGACAAACTAGGCCTGAGACCCAGTTGTTCGTGCTATTTATGGTTCAGATCTAAGTTGGATGTGTTTTTGGAATTTGGAGGGTTTTTCACACGCTACATTGAGGAGTACAGGAGTTGAAATTAGTGTATGAAATCACTGGTTTTGCTGGCTGGGTGACAGAGTAACAGTGCTGACAGTTCAGTTGTTCAGTATTGGAAGATTAGTTTGTGGTGCATGGAGGGGAATTAGTGGTGAACAATGGCTCTGAACTGCCGGATAGGCAAGCTTATTGTCTTCCAGCGGTTTGGGTCAAGTGCTTTGCTGGCTATGAGCAATTTGACAGCGTTTTGAAGAATGGCTCGGTTACTTGTGTCCGCTTTGTTTTAAAAATGCTTCATGAGGATCATCTGTTAATGTTTTTTTTTTAAACAAAAACCTCTTCAAACAGTCATGAGCTTTCTTTTGGTGGTGGTCGTCTTGTTTTAAAGAAATTAGCTGTAGAAAAGATCTTATAAATGTAATGTGTTTTCTGAAACTTCATTGAGCACTTTCATGTGAACATGGCTACTACAGGAAGGCTACAGGTTTGCTTATGTCATGTGGAGCGTCTTCCATCATAAATATTTGGTTGGTTTAGGATTGTAGCACATTCAGGTAGTTTAATATTGCAAGTTCTGGAATGTAATGACCCGTCAAATCTGAAACAACAGAACAGTCTGATTAGCAGAGGAGGATGGAGGTGCACTGCTATGCGTAACTGGCACAGAAACTTGACCTATGTTATCTTGAACAGTGGTGATATACAGTATAATAATGGCTAACATGCTTGATGCACACATGCAGTATTACAGCTGCATGCATCTTGGGAGTCCACACCAGAGAGAACTTTGAAAACCAATGACAGCCATTTGGCTTGATGAACAAAATATAATGTCTCTAAAACAGGTTGGGAATTTTCAGTTGACAATGACAGTTTCCACGGATGATAACACTCAGTAACTGCTGTTGGAACTGTGAGTAATTCATTGAGTATGAGCTCTAAATGATGCACCTTTTCCCACCACTCTGCTTCTCTTCCCCACAAACAGTTGCTGAATGTTTAGGAGAACTGTGGTTCCCCCGGCTTCTCCACGATGCTGTATTCTTTAGCAGGAGGAGGCACACTCTGCGGTGTGGCCGCCCTCGTGCTTCTCATCGTTTCTACGGCAACGGACTTTTGGATGCAGTATCGATACTCGGGGAGCTCAGCCAATCAGGGGCTTTGGAGATTTTGCATAAACCACAAATGCCATGCCCACACCATAACTGTAGGTGAGTACTCCAGAAGTGGGAACAGTCTGAGGTTCCCATGAATGCCACTATGATAGAGACTTAAGCTGCTGCTGCTGTTTGATATTTTGAGCAGATATCTTTAAATCAAGACATTTCCAATATTACAAGTGGCCAGTTTCTGAGGAAGTTATTATTTCAGAAAATGATAACACATTAACTACACCAAGCACACTGGTCTATCCAGAAAACAAAGCTACAATTTGTTGGTAATTTCTGCAAGAGAAAGGATATTGCACCTATTGTCTAGATAGATTTACTAGTGATATGAAGTGGGCTGTCGCAAGACCCAGCAATCTCTTTGTATTGATGGTGGGAACACTTACTAAAACTGTACCAACAGTGTTTGAAAGAAAAGAAAAGAAAAAAAAGAGAAGAGCAGAAAACGCAATAGATTTATCAGGAAAACTTTTCAAAAAAGTCCCAACAGCATACTGCAGAAGATCTCTGCATTGTGAGTGTGAAGAAGGTCCACACTGACAAATTGACAAACTAATGCAAACATAAAAATTCCAGCATGCAAACCAAAAATGTGAGTACTTACAAGTATCAGTATTTGTGTACAACTAGGACTGAGTGTTAGCATCTGTTGATGTGTGTGTGGTCCTTGCCTTTCTGTGTCCAGCTTTCTGGGATGCCACACGGGCCTTCATGTTACTGGCGGTGCTGAGCTGCTTTGCTGGGGTAGTGCTCGGCCTCAGTGCCTTCACTAATGGCACCAAGAACAGGAGGGTCCGCACAGGAGGCATCGCCTTGGTGCTGTCAGGTAAAACACACATTGTCAGGGTGACCTGGTGGTTAGAGGTGGAGTAGGTAGGTGGGGTTCATCAGATTAAAACCGTGACTTGTCTCTTATGTGCAGAGTATATACAAGTGGGCAAGTCGGCTCTAAAAATTTGTTGCCAAGGTTGTGTCTTTTTTTTTTTTTTGTATTAGAGTGATCACCCTGTCTGGGACTTTTCTACAACAGGTGTTAGTTTTGGGTCAGTAGATATTCAGGGTTAGGGTAAAAACTTGTAGATCAGAACAGGTGCTATCCATTGATATACTATAAGGTGGCATCTGTCTTGGGCAGTATGCAGTTGACAGGTTGTATGAGTTATTATTGTCTGTTCTCAGGTTTCCTTGCTCTGCTAGCTTTGGCAATTTACACTGGAGTGACTGTCACTTTCTTTGGCAAACGCTTCTTGGACTGGCGCTTTTCCTGGTCCTACATCATTGGCTGGGTGGCCATCATTCTGGCTTTTGCAGCAGGTATTTATTGCATATTTCATTGAATTTTTTTAGTAAGGTAAAGTTGTGTTTATTGTGAGTAAATTTCAAGGACTGCAACTATTGTCAGCAGCCTGGATAAGTAAGTAGGAACAAAACTTCTTGTTGCACCTTTTGCTCTCCTGCAAGTGAAGACACACAGTGGCTGTGTGTACATTAAGTTACACACAAATCTAATTTAAATGCTCTTGTGCAGAGACAAATCTACAATGATCCATCACCTGTCATACTATATGACTTTTTTCAAAGTGGTCACATGTCATTTAATAATTAAACTTCATTTATCATATTTGGAGATTGCTATGTGTAATTTTATGAAAATAAAGATTTATTTCATTGTCTTTTAGGTGTGTTTCAGCTCTGTGCTTACCAGAGAACCACTGCAGAACCTGCTCCCACTAATAACGCGGACAGCTGAACAAGCTGAACACACTGATGAGCTCCAAGGACTGTTGACATGGAAGTTGCGGCTGCTGTTGAGCATTTAGAATGGAATAAATAGAAATCATAGACTCCTGTGTGGTTTAATTGTAACACTCTTTTACTGACAAATTATTATTCTTTTTTTTAATCTTGACCACAACATTTAGAAAACATCTTACCTTTTTGTTTTAGGTTATTAGCAGATCAGCATGCATACATGAGGGCAGAGGTTGTCACACATCGACATATCCAGGACCACCAGACTAGAACTCTAGAAAACCAGGCCACTAGGCCACTGATGATTCTGTATCGGGACATACTCTTCTAAAATGATTTTTTATTATTTTTAGAAATAGAGAAAACAATGAACAGTGAGAAACATTGAATCATAATACTACTTATAATTTCACTGAATCAAATAACACATGAACTATCACTGATTTTCCTAAAACATCTGAGGATCTCCAGTAATATTCCTTGGATGGTGAGTACTTTGGTGCGGCACATTGATCAGTAGCGTACTTTTCTACTGTGATCTCCCTGTGTAAGAGATTCTCCACTAGATGGCGATATTGAGCCATATACAGGAGGCACAACAACCACTGCTGAGAAGTGGAAGTGATTCCTGTAAGGTAAAATGAAACCACATTACTCACCTGAAATTCAGGCTGTGTGGTCTTTCAAAGCTGCGCATGTGTTGGCTCTCTTAACCAAACCAGCCACAAGCACATTCATATGAATCAGGCAGGGTTTAGACCAAATAACCCAAATCAACAAACCAACAGCTGGACTGGAACTGGTCACAAAAAGATTTTCAGATGAGATGCAAAACATTTTCAAGAAACCTACAGCAAGTCCATTTCCCTTTGATTTTGTACTTCTAAATATCCAAAGAATAATGCAATAATAACATATCTATTTGTAATCAGTTCTCCCTAAACCTGTCAGATATTCAAAAGCAGATTGATTCAATCGTCAATCTCTTTAAAAAAAAAAAAAAAAAAAGAAAAAATCTGTATATGCACTGATAAAAGCTGCAGTGTGCAGTATGACTGAGCCTAGCCACAGAAGAATTCCCCCAAACATATGGTGTGAGATGTAAGTGAGTCTAAACTATGTATTTTGTAAAAATCTTCACTTCTCTCTACTTTTAAACTCCCAAACCTTAGTTGATCAAGTTCATTTTCCATCCACATGATCAAGTTGTGTTTGAATAGTAAAGCACAATTACACAAAACATTTACTTTGCAACGTTTGATTTATTTTGAACAATAGCAAAGCCATCTCACAGAGACTACTTTGAATTACACAGAATGCAAATAAATATATATAGGACCATAGCAGAATTAAGGACATTAACAACTGATACAAAATTATTTACAACACTTTGAATAGTGCAAAACCACACAAATACTGCCCTCATCACTAAAATTCTTGCATTGAGTCCTTTTCGAGGACAGTGGATGTGTGTGCTGCCCCCAGGTGGGGGATTATAAGAACTGACAGTACTGTATATGGCATGTTGACAAAAACCTTAGCGACACATTATGAATATGACTCTCCTGAAACAGGGAGTAGCAAACGTAAACCCACCCGCTAAACCTCGTCAAGAAGAGCTTTCATAACAAGGGTGATGTTGGATCATTGAGATGTGGTGTGGATATGCATTGTTAGGTCAGTTGAAAAGGGCCATGAGAGGGGGAAAAAAGAAAAAGCAATCATTCTGAGAAGCTCAATAGTTACATCAATCAAGTCAAGTGAATCTCAATAGAAAGAAGTGTTCTTTCTCAAAAGGACATTTGAGAAACCACCAAAGCCAAGATGTACAGAATGTGAACCTCATCATGAGCACTAGACGTTGAAATGGCAAAGGAAAAGATGAGAAACTAAAACCACGTGGCAGGTAGTGCCCGCCACCCCTGAGTGAAAACAATTTTTTTTTTGTATATATATTAAAAAAAAAAGAAAAGAAAAAAAAAAAAAAAAGAGGTCTTAGCACCATCAGATACCACAGAACACCAGCTTTGCCATTTCTTCTCGATCCGAACACTGGGGTCATGGATTGTGACAGGCACAACACATTTTTTAAAGTGCGGTCGCTCACTTGAGCTGTTCCTTTCACTCACATCTTTGTTTGTTTTTTTTCCTTCTTCTTCTTCCACAATTTTTTACCCCCAAAACATCAAGCTCCAATTAAAAAAACAGCACACAAAGATAAATTACATTTTGTCATGCATAATAATAATAATATTTTGTTGCATATTGAAATTTCTTTCTGGGACCACTTGTTTTGCTGATGAAAACTTGGACCTTACAGCAAGTGTGGTTGCATACTCTCCTCTCTGGGTGATAAAGAGCGAGAATGCATATACAGTATCAGTTAAGTGTCGATTTTGCAGACACGTGCATGAACATTAGAAATAAATTATTGGTGCTACGTTAAATAACCTGAAAGTTCTAGAAATGCCACATGGTCCTCAAGAGGCCCGTGAAAGAGATGTTTGTACTTTAACACAACGTGGTCATTTTTTCCCGGTATAAAACAGAACATCGACAGACATCTGAACCAGACAGATTATAAGTCTACTTTTCAAGACAAAAGTCATAGAAAAGCCGTACACAAAAACAAATGAATACCTCTGAGACTACCTCCTCATATCCTATTGTACTAAATATTTGTGCATTGATGATGCATTCATCCAGTAGAGACTGGAGAAAGAATAACCTCTGAGCATTGATCATTAAACAAGTTTAAATCATGCCAAAGTAAGAGGAAAGTAGTACTGCAATCATTGCTGATTGGAGAAAGAGAGAAAGGATACGACCATCAGGAGAGTTTCAAGCCTCCATAGGTTGATCTGAATTCAGCTATCATCATTTCAACCCACAGCTGATTAGGAAGAAAAGAGCCATTAAGAAGAGAAGTACCCAAAGGTTACTGAAGTCAAACAGAGAGACAGATTTGTATATACTGTTGATAGATGGAAGGGTAAATAAGAGATAGAAAATCAATTAAAAGTCATCTCCGTGCACTCATGCAATAGACGTGCACTGTGTGCATCTTTGGCTATGCATAGCACTATAGCAGGCTAATGCTGATTGGTATAGCCCTGTTCAGACTGCATGCTCATGGAGAAGAGAATGAATGAAGGACAATGGGTAACATAAATTCACAGATGTGGAACAGTTTCTGTCAGGAAAGTGCCCATCACCTTGGCTAGTGTGGCACCGTGCTAAATTAGAGCCGTTTGGCTTTGGTTTGAATGACAGACACGCTGCAACCAGGCAGTATGTATGCATTTTGGCTCGGCTCTGTGCGACTAAGTCGTGGCATGTCCTTTTGTTTACTGCACTAGGAGGAAGTATAGCCCTTCAAGTTTACAAGTTGTCTTTGAAATTGCACAGGTTGGCCACTCGTCCTCAAGCCAACAGCACAGGCCACATTGGCAGCACAGTCTGAGTACACAAGTTCTCCACTGGGTTCTGCTGGGAAGAGGCTAAAATAATCCTTCAGTCACAGGTCAACCAATCTCTCCTTTAGTCACCGAGTGTTATGTGTCTTGGCGGTACCTATGAAAAGACCAGAGGGAAACAGTTAAGAGTGGCATTATCAACAGTAAATACACACCTAACAATACTCTGGTATTTAGTTACTTGGCAATAAGGCCACGCCTGTTTGAGGAATTACTTTCTCTCAGTTTCCTTGAAATACAACACAGCTAACAACAGAGTAAACTCAAAATTATGAGATAAATACACTCTGCAAACACATCTAACTAACACCAAACATTCCTATTGAAATGAAACCACCTAATGTCCATTTCAATTTAAACTTTTTAGAGTGATGACAGTTAAGATAAAGTATTAATGAAACATTTTCTTCCTCAAGCTGCTCAACATCTCGTGTCAGGGTGATTGACTGTACTTATGAAAACCACTACCTGATGAGTCTCATTGTAAAGATGAACAGGATATTTTAATTTTCTATAGCCTTGTGAAAATAAGAGCACAAATAAGGCAGACTTTTCTGAATGTGTCTTTAATGGCACAGAGTAGTAGTGAGGCAGCACTGCTGTACTAGGTAGACACTGTGTGCACTGCCAACTCAAACTTTTCAATCTCTTCGGCATACACCCTATTAATAGGGCTATTTTATCTAAGATTATGCTCAGAGAAAGACGGCCATGGACAATAAAAGACTCAAATCGAAAGAGAAAGACTTCTTACCCGCTCTGTAAAGTGAACTCAGGCAGAGCCCCAAGGGATGTCAGCTGTTCCTCCAGAGCCACGATACGCAAACCAATGTAGCCTGAAGACAGCAGCAGCAGCACAACCCTGAAACAAACAAAATATATGACAGGTCACATTGTTTGCCTTTTCATTAACTGTGACAAAGGTTAACGATATCAGCTAAACACTTGCATAGAAACACTTTCTTAGAAACAATATTTTTCTAGTTCTTTTAGCTGGCACTAAAAGAACTGCATATCACACTTGTCTGTGAATAAACTGCACTGCAGATAAAAGGCAGAAAAAGGTCGTTGGCTTAATTTTACTTGCTTAAAATAAAGCTTTTAAGTTTCAAGTTGTACATTTCTTAAGTTAAACTTGGCAAGCCTGAATTTCCTATTATGGAATGAAACACAACAAGAATGCTAACTACCAGGACAGGTTTCTGAAATTCCTAAACATTTACCTCTAAGGAGTGCAACTTCAAGAGTTAGAAGCAGATTTAGATTAGCACATAGGAAGATAAGGCACTGGAGATAGATAGAAGGGAGAGTTGGGGGAAAAAAACAACAGACGGAGGAAGAGGAAGAGAATGCTACTTACAAAATCAAGTAAATGAAGAGTAGAGTGTTGAGGGTGCTGGTTTCTCTCTGAACCAGCATGGACTTAGCCTTTTCTGTCACATTCCAAACCCACGATCCACCTGTACCAGGAAAAAGAAATGTAAGCATAGCATGAGTCAAGGTTCCAAGTTGTACCATATATTTCACCTAAGTTTTCATTGATCTACAGTATTAAGGTGTAAAATGAAGCTATGGGCAAACAGAACATTTATTACAATCAAAGTAGTAGATGTCTTCCAAGTAACAATTTAAAAACTTGTATTTCTTGGTGTCTGCCAATCTAGGAATTAAACACATACTACTTTATATCGCCCCATAAGTGCCTAAAATGATGGTAACTAATGCAACCCCATGCACGTTTGTGTGCATGTGTGTGTATTACCTGAAGCAGACAGCTCCTCTGAAGACGAGCTATCACTCTGCTGCATGTGCAGGCTCCTGAAAGGCGAGCCATTACAATTAGGCACTGCCTCTGTAGAAGAAGAGAGACGGAGAAAAAGAAGTGTGTCAGCCTACAACTTTGGACTTTGCATGTGCACTGGCTAGAACATAAATGACAACATGAGATAACAGCACCAAAACAAACTGTCAACAGTTTTTTTGTCCATCTATGCATAGCGGCTGTCAGTTGAGGATCAGACAAATGTTATTCATTAACGTTTCTCTATCCTCATTCGAGGTTCATGAAACATTTATCACATTAACTGTTTGCTGCTAAGCATTTACATGCAATGTAAAGGATTGAGGATTGGTGTTGACCTCTCACCTCTGTGTGGTCTATGCAGAGGCTGGTCCTGTAAAGATTGAGATTCAGAGCCGTCGAACTGGTCGAAGCTGTCGTCCAAACTGGACTGGCTGGAGTTCTGCTGAGAGATGAAGGAATGCCGTTACAAAAACTTCAAAGACAGAAAACCAAGCTTTCTGGTCACTTGGCTTCTCATACAAGTATTCAACAATAAATAAACTATTTTACATTTTTAAAAACGGAGAAAAAGGTCTCTTACCACAAGTTTGCTCTTATCAAAGCTGTTCTCGGCTGAGGAGAAGACCGGGCTACTATTTGTGCTACCATCCTGTAACAGAAAGAATTGTTTAGATCGAGTGTATCCAAAATGACATTTTACCAGTCATTTTGACTTGCTTATTATGATGTTCGTTCTGACAAATGGATTTGATAGTCCGCTTGCTCTAAAACTGTGCATTTAGGTAATGTATAAATAAATTGTTGAGATGTGCAACAGGGTTACAACATTAAAGTTTCTGCTCCCCGTCATAAAATTGCATTTTTCCTCGTTCGTTTTACTAAACTTGAGATTTTATAATGAGAAAATGTGCAGTGTTGTAATACTTTCACAGTCACAACTAAGGATTTTTAGCAATGTACTTCATACTCTTTGTAATACAATACAGTTGCATCAACACTTATCATAAGCTTACAATCTGATTGTGATGTGTAAGTATCATGTACACTTTCCCCAACAGAGGTACCACATTTTATCTTAGCAGAACTTTTGAACTCTTGAATTTTTGAGGACATTTCAACTGAGCCACCCACCTCTATCTGAGGAGAGACTGAACGCAGCAGCTGATAACATGATTCTCTGTTCCGCAGTGACACAAACAGGAACTGAACAATGAGAAGGAATAAAAAGAAGGGAAAAAAAAAAAAGTGGGAATATTAGCCATCTGCCCTGCTGGCATACTTGAAACATAAAATACAGTCAGTCATTGATTAGATAACATCTAAAGCAGAGTTCAGTGTGGTTGAGCAAGGCCTACATTTGATTTTGAACATTTCTAATTATTAAGCAAACTACACCAAGCATGAATTAATGATTGTGTGAAACTGAGGTGAGAAACCTACCTTGTCTCCTTCTGTGGTGCGGATCGACAAGGCGTTGGGCACCAGCAAAGCTGTGTTCTGCTTCTTCACAATGTGAATGCAGGAAACTGGAATCACTACCTGTAAGAGCACACAGCCACACATAGAAAAGACCAGACTTAGAAACCAGTCAAATCAAACATTAAGCCAAAAGGAATGAGGGGAAAGGGCTGAGGCGCTGTCTACCTTAGTGTCCTTGAGTAAGACTGAAGAGTAGAAACAGGCATGGGTGTCTGTGATGTACAGCCGACCATGGTAGGGCACTTCCTTCTGCAGCGCACAGATGTATGCTGGGAGAGGACGGGGGAACAAACACTTAAGTTTTACATGATTCATTCATTCATTTATTAAGCCTCTGAATCTCTCTTTTCATTTTCATTTACTTACCATGTATCAAGTCTTCACTCTCAGGAATGTCTGGAAACAACTTGTGGAATGTCTTGTTGTGCTTTATGAAACTCTAAAAAAGGTTTAAAAAATTTTAATTAATTAAAAACACAATTAAAAAAGGAAAAAATTAAGACACTTCAGGTGTCAATAAATGCACTAGTCTAGTTTGAGGCCTTGCACCCAGTCACCAAACAACACTGACTGATTGATTATGGTACACTTAAAGTACCACACAGGTTTGTACTTCCACCTGAAGTAAAATAATCTATTTCTTTGAATGTTTAAATTAAAAGTTATGGACTTACACTTTGTGTGCTTGGGCCTTCTGTCTTCTCAAAGCCTCTGCTGTCAACATCGAACGTCTGCGACCTGCACAGAAAAAAAGGCACAGCTGTCAGTTTAAAAAGAGGTCTGTGGTTTCAGAAGAATCATGTTGATGTGAGGTAACAGAGAGACAAGAACATGCAGTAGAAATATATTTTTATCACTTTCATGCAGCAATGTTCTTGCCAAGAAAACCACTATAGTTGCTAAAAATGGATAGGGCTTCAGTAACATGAGAAAACAGACGAATGTTTAAACAGTAAAAAAAAAAAAAAACGCATCAGTGAGTGCTCTGTGGATGAAGAGAAGAGAAAATCGCTCTTCATCCCAACAAATCTCAAACACTGCATCACTGAATCATGTGAGAAAATAGTCAGGCTACAACAGCTATGCAGTCACGTGTGTGTCATGACTGAACAGCTGAGAGCTGGGTCAGGTCTTGTGATGCATGTTCAGAATAGCTGCAAGTCTCCACTACATCAAATGTGTGATTTTATGCATTCTTAGAGGATTTAAATGAATAAAAAAAAAACATATATCATATATAAGAAAATATAAACATAACTGTTTTACAAGAAGTGGCTTATTATGATGGTGCAAAATTCTGGGACTTCTGTAGATGTGTGCGTGGAGTATTACCTACTGCAACAGCATGAGAATGGTACTGTAAAAAAAAAAAACTGTTCTAGTAATGACTACTGTGTACTCATAGGTTGGAACGCCAGCATGTTGTCAGGTGATGCAACTAACAAACATCTTATGATATTTTGTGGCATCCATCAGTCCTACCTGATGGCTACTTGTCTGGTGAGGGTTTTGTGCTGTTGCTGGATCTCGATTTGGGCTGCTTCCAGGCTCAAGGCTTTCCTGGTCTCCACCTTCTTGATGCTGCCATTGCTTAAGCTGCTCCTGCTTTTCTTCACTTTTTCTGGCAGCCCGCCACCACTGCTGTCTACTGGGTAGCTGCTGAAAAAAAACCCCACAGATTTAGTCACATGCCAATTATTTTTGTTACTGTGAAATCCTTTTCATTTGCGTATGCAGTGAGCATGTGGTATTTTTCCTGGGGGAGTTATTGCAGACAGAATTAAGACAAAACGTACAAACTCTCCACCTCGGTAGAATATTGCTTTCATGACACAGGGCAAAGTAGGTTTAGAATACACAGGTATTTCACAGTAAGCTAAAACCTCAACCACATATAATGAATAGGTGGTGGGAAATAAACACCCACCAAATGCTCTTACATTTATAAGTCTCTGCAAAGACGCCTTTAACAATCTCCTGTACTTTTGAGTGTTGCCATCTAGCACCCATGTTAAATGCTCAACAGCACACATCTATAATCATTGTTTCGAGGTCTTATTCATTAACTAAAATCACTCAATTTCTACAAATATAAAAGGCTTTGTGATGACTGGACTGATATTGCAGAGATGAATGGCCTTATCTTTATGATGTGCTGGGAAAGGTTAACCTTTTCCAAGTCAGAAAGTTTTATTGATATGTGTTGCATCAGGGTTAAGGCTATGACTGGACAATTACATCTCCAGGCTTCTTTACAAGTTGTTTCACATATGCTCATGCGCTTAAACTGGCAAGCATCTACAAACATGCCATTTAAAAAAAAAAGTGTAAAAAAGTCCCGTAAAAGGATCGCAGGGTTTACTACAGCCAATGTGCTCTTCAAAGGCCATGGCCCGTCCTTGACCAGGAACAAATGAGCCACAAATGTAGTGAAAGACTACAGAGTCAGCTGATTTCTATTGATAGAAATCTAAACTTGTGATTTATGTTAACAAAGACGATACAGGACACAAAACATGAGACTACACAAGACAAGCTGAGTGATTGCGTAAAGCCTCCATCCAGTTAAAAAAACAAACAACACAACTAAAAGAAAAAAACTATTAAAAAAAAACCCTTAAGCTTAACAAAACTCATAAAGACAAACAACAAAGGCCACCTTACCTGATCAATTTAAGTCGCTTGGATGAACGAAAACTCATATACCTACTGACAGTAGGCATTTCCTTTCCTTAAAGGAAAAATAACAAAAAAAAACCCCGCTCTTTTCTCTATATGCTATAAACAATGGCTTTACACAATTAAAGCTGAGAAATGATAAAAATAAAGAACACCAATATGCCACCTGTAAAAAGATTTAATGTTCTAAAGGAGAAGTCCAAGATGAGTTTTTGTGCGAGTTAAGTCAGTGTCCTTCGCAACATCCTGCCAGAAAAAAAAAAAAAAACGTCTGCTGTGTTGCTGTATGAATGTGCTGGTAAAGAGGAAGCCACTTTGTGTTGAGAATGGTGTGACACTCCGTAGTGGCTGACGTCAAACTCAACCACTCCCCCAGAGCCGAACAAGCATGAAAGGGCCTAACAGGCAGCGGGGCGCAACACATGCACAGGCATGTTTAAGAAAACAAGGCCCATCTCATAAAATCTTCCACTGTCAGACATTGTCCAATATCAAAATTTTGTCTTGTTGGGATTTAGGCCAAAGCAGGATCAGAGACTTTTCAAAACAGCTCTGTGTGAGAATGAGAAAGTAAAATACTTGTGAGGTGCTCAGACTGGCCTGTCTACACCGATCTAGGAGTGGTGAATTATCCATGTCTACATTCAGTCAATGAATCTAACCAAGGAAACAGAAAAACAACACACCATAACCATAAAAGTCCTTCTTCAACTAACTTCTATACAGGAAGTCAGACATTTGAAAAAAGCAACACATACCACCTCATTAAAATAAATACTACTCACAGTACATAGTGTGTTGCACTGCTTAAGTCCTGGACCAAATAAACATTTTCAGAAAGGATTCTTGATGGAGGAACTTGTGTTAACTATTTTACCCTGTCAGTAACCCGTCTCATAACTGAACAATTTCTTTGTCTCGTCATCTGAGTAATTGGGGTAAAGGTCAGGGAGAAGAACATGAAATGCAGCTTCAACGAGATGTTTACCTTGCAATTAGCCTTGAATGTCTAAGTGCGGGGTAAGGGTAATGATAAATGCTAACAGCACATAGAGATCTTAAATACCATTCAAGAAATGCTTTCCTGTCTGTGCAGTGGGATCTCTTTCCATTCTAAAGTGTCATTAAAGCTTAAGCCTGTTTCTGAATGTTGAGTTATAAACCATGTTAAATAAAACCCAGTGTGGTAGGTCTACTGTAGTTGCAGCTTGTAATTTTCTCAACTCCAGAAGCTTGAGCAGATAACACCTTTGTAAAAGATGTCCTTTACTATATTACTAAAATATGAATGCCTATAAATAACATAAGCAGCTAGTAAATTTGGCAGCCAATAAGCTACTGTGACTGGTGTTTATACACTTTCAGAACAATATCATAATTATAGCTGAAACCGTTGTGTGTTAATGCATGCTCAACTGACCTATTTACAGAAGGCAGGGGGGGTTCAAGCAGCAATGCAATAAAAGCAGTATTCAAAGTCTATGAACTCTTTGAATTTCTCAACAACTTCCTGTCTGTACTGCAGTTGAACTGTTACCATTAACAAGGTCATACTGAAACTGCTTCCTGTGACACTCTATTGAGACACTATTTACAAAAGCACACAGCAAATTCAAAACTTCAAGTGAAGGGCTGAAATTTCCCCACAAATATTAGAAGTTTAGAAAATTGAATTTCTTGCAGATAATGTCCCTGTATTACCATGATGACAGAACCCTAGATGAAAATTATCTGTACACCTCATTTACATCACGCCTCTGCAGTTAATGTTAGTTTACACAATCTGTAGCTACCCACCAAATTCTACTGTGTATAATGTTTATTGCAGAGTTTCCAGGAAATTTTGCTATTGTCATTATACTGGCATGTTGAATCTCCAGAAACATGGCATGCGGACATGAGGAAGGAAAAAAAATCCCCTGGAAATCTAATATCAGTCAGTGAAACACTCAAGTTGGCGTGAAAAGTACATCTCATGCCAAGATTATCAAGTCTGTCTCAATCAAGGAAACAGAGTCAGCTATAAATGTTCAAGGCCAAAGCCATGACACATGAACAGGTGTGTGATAGTAACCAGAGTTTAAAAAAAAAAAAAAAAGAGTCGACAAACATTTGCAGCATGACGTCTAACTCTTATAGTGACAACCTATGTACTGCATGAAAGTGGTGTTGCTTGATGAGCGCTATAAAGCAGGAGGCGGCTGACTTGATATTTGTATATAATGGTCATGGACAAAGGCCTTGACTTCTGACCTACTTCCTTATTGGACCACTGTGTCATACAGCCTGACAAAAATCAATGTTGAGCCTAGTTTTAGCACCCCGCCTGACATTTCAAAACAAGCATAGGCACATCTAATTCTCTGCAGCAGCAGATTAAAATGGACATGCACAAAGTTATAGGCGTATATTTATCTGGATTCCCTCCAAAGTACAGTTTGTCTCAGGGGTGGAAAACAACAGCACAAAAAGCAAACTCACATGATGGCATGTTCTGTGAAATAAAGATTACTGTCAAATATATTACAGTTTGATCCGTCTGCATTTGTTCTAGTATTATCTAAGGGGACCAGATAAATCACTTCATCACAGTCTTGATGGTCATTAGCTCAGATCTGTGACCACTGCTATGCTAACATGTTTTCCTGGATTTACAGTGGATCTATTGAGAAAAACTTTTTCAGGGAAATGGGCTGTTGATAATGAAAAATTAATTGAAGCACAGATGTTAGAGCGGTGACCACATGATAGACGTATGACAAAAAAGTTTTACAAACTCAACAGTCTTTCCAGCAGGTTGGTGGGGAAAAAGGCATTATCTTGACTTACCTTCCCAGATCCTCACAATGATCATGTGGATTCGAAAAACCTTTCCTTCTCTCCATGACCAACTAAATTTTCCCTTCTTGTCTGACAGATTTTAGCCACCACTGGTCGATGCAGCTGAATGACAGAGTATGGTAGCAAAAGTGCACTTAGACCCTGAGCATTCAAAGCCAAATCGAAAGGGTGTAAAGGTCTGTTTTACTGCAACGGTTTGAAGTGCAAAGAGCTCAATGTGAAGACAGAGCCAGAACCAGGAATACACAGCAGGAAAGAGAAAAAGAAAGAACAGAGTGAAAAGCTCCCCAGCTTTGTCCTTTCTAAGTCCGTCTAACAATGTGTTGTCGTGGAAACAGGTAACAGTGGAAAGTAGATGGTGGAAATGTGGGGGGTGACAGAAACATTGCTAGGTTATTCTCAGTTCAGACGGCCTAACAATAACATTCAATAGCCTGTTCTCAATGACAACAAGGAGATGGCTTTAAAAGCAGCCAGAGTAATGTGCATGACAACAGTTAGCTTAGTCTTTGTAGAGGATGCAAATGGAGCCATCACACAAGGACATTTGTATTTGGCTGGAGAGAAAGAAAGACTATTTCTATACCTATGACACCACCATCCAGGAAACTCACACAGACAAAGTCCAACTGCACTTGTGACATCAGTCTTAATTTAGCCACCATTTATCAATCCTTATGTCTCCCGTCTATCCACCACCTGCCATGTTTTCAGTGTAAACATCCTGGTGTCGAGCTCCGGGATGAACACTATGGTATGGCTGTGTTAAATAGGTCATAATCAGAAACGGCACGGGTTTGATCCTTGCTATAGACATGTGGCCTCTCAGAGTCCTTGAGCCCAACAGTGGAACTTCTGCAAATTAAGACGACACATATGTACTGAGTACCAACAATATAAATGATCCATGTTGAATTAAAGGCTATCAATTGATGTCAAAGGTTAAACTGAGCAATGGGCCACTGATTTAGGAAGTAATCCAAGTCTCCTTATGGACTGTAAACATTCCACAACAATCATCTTATTCAAGCAACTTAAAAGCTGTAAAATGCTGACAACTAGAGATCCGCCAAAAGTCTATTTAATTCCTAAAATATTAGTTTATCCCTGTGACATTTAACATTGTCTTAAAAATGTAAATATTACTTAACATATTGTAAACACAGAACATATTTGCATCATAATGCTGCCAACTGGACAAAAGGGGACACTTAGTCATTCATGTTACACAATACCTGTGTACATACTGTAGGAGCAATTCCAACTTGCATTTGTTGCTCTATGTTTTATCTACAGATAAGACTTGCACAAGGCTTCTGAGGAGGTACTTCTCACGATAGCCACATTCATCTTAGAGCTGCAAAGGTCAGAGTACACTCATACTTAAGTTACTCTTCTAAACTTAGAGTATTAACATGCAAAAATGCTTACTGACAGTTAGATGGAATATTTTCTGCAGTGCTAACAATAAACTGAATTGCTGTTGTTGTATGATGGGGTATAACAGTGTAGAAAATGCCCTTTTAGACTGAATGATGACCATTATAGAAATACCACTAGTAAAGTTAAAGATTTAATCTACACTGGATTCACAAAAGATGACTGACTGTTTAAATTGACTGGAAACTAGCTTTGACTGAGGTGGGGGCTGATATCTCTAGCACAAAACATTCCAGCTGGCAAAAGAACTCCCGGGGGTAAAGAGTTATGATGCTTTCATTTGCTGTCCCGAGATGAGACAGATTATCCCAGGAGTCCTGCTGCAGACGTCAGCCGTACGTCAGCTAGTCTGCTGCTCTAGCACCCTTAAGACAAGACTGCTTCTGCATAGAACTCTTGTTTGAAAGCTTTCCCACAGCCAATGCAAGTGCTGTAGCATGAGCACCAAGTTCACGTGAGCTGACAAAAAGTTTTATATCCATGAAATCCCTCTGAGATCAGCTGAGAACAAGCAGAACCAGATAGTGTGAGAGCACCATCTTCTGGAGAGCTGTGGATAATTTTTGTCACGTGAACTGCTGATTCCCCATCATCCAATCAAAAACAGTTTATTCCAAAGCAACACAACAGATTGTTGCAGCTGTGCTTTATTGAGCCAAATGGGACAGTTAAAATGTTAAAGCCTACAAACTAAACCAGACCACTGCTTTCATCACCACCCACATGATCTGGGAATTTTAATGTGTGATAATCCAGCTTTAGGACAGTGTTCCACAACAATTAAAACTAATTTTGCTGTTCAGCAGGGTTATGGGTCTGTGACAGCTAAATTTGATTCATAACCAGAAACAAGAACAACACAAAAAGCCAATAAGAAGATTAAAGACAACCCAAAATATTATACTGGATTGGACTGAAATGATTTTGTGTATGTATGTGCATGTGAGCTTCAACAGAGCAGTCAGGATGGGCAG